AAACAAAGAAAGAAAATAAAATTGTCAAAACGAACTAAAAACATGCAAATACCGGTAACTATCCTGGATCAACATTAACCCCATTAGCATCATGATGCAAAATTTTCAGAAAAGGAGCGGGTAGTCTCCAAACCCAATCCTCTGGGCTTGACCCATCCAGCATAGCCTTGGCAAGCCAATCAAGGGCAGCATTAGCTTCTCTAAGAATCCATTTAACCACATGGTTCCTAAACATTTTCCTTGATTCCAAAATATTATCAAGGATAGCAACACATCTCCAGTCTGGAAGCTCCTATTGAGTATTAATAAAGCTGACAAGAATTTGATTGTCTGACTCAAATTGCACATCATCAATTTGATTTTCAATTGAGTACTCCATTGCATCATTAAGAGCAATTCCTTCCGCCATTAGTGCAGAATCAGCAGCAGTAATCCTGGCTTTTCTATCAAGCAACATTTCGTTTGAGTCTCTGACCAAGAAAACAGAGGCGACCAACTTGTTTTCTGAGCTAAAAGCACAATCAGAATCGATCTCTAGGGTATTTCTAACAGGAGGGGTCCACTTCATGTCAGCCTTTAGAGGAGGATTAGGTAATATGCTTAGCAACAATGGAGGAAAGGAGTGGACATTGGAGATCTAATTAGGATCCAGATGAGTTGGAATTTGTTTTCTACTAATTGAGAATATTTAAGTGACACATGATGGGTCGTGACTTGTGATTAAGGGGGTATCTGGAAACATTTAAAATTTTTTTTAAATTTTTTTTTTATAATCCAGACAAACTCTTCTACATATTTACTTTGTACCCCAACTCTAAATATAAGACCCATTTTATAGTGTAAATTACATTGTAAAATCAGTCTTATATTTATGATCAGAAAAGTATATCATAAAATTATTTTTAAATTATAATGTAGTTTTCATCTAAACATCCCTAATCAAAGGTCCCATAACGGAACAATAACACCACGACACGAGAGCTACCTTTTCAGTCTTCACCCAACCTCGTGTATGCCGGGTCACCTCTCTATGGAGCTAAGAAATAGGCCCGGCTACCTGTAATGGGCTTAGGGTCATAACCCAAGTCTTTATTATCAGGATTAGGACTGAGCCCACAAACTCATCCTTATGTTAAAAAAAACATACTCTTCTAATCCTATTTATAAGGTAGAGAAAAAAATATTTTTTGATCTTATTTATAGGATACTAAGAGAAATTTTTATATGGATGTATAATTTTATCATTCATTTATTATTGTGTTGACTTTATTTACACGAGATGTAATATATAGGAATAAAGTTAGAAAGTTGTTGAATTTTAAATGAAAATTAATAAAATTTAAGATTTTTATTTATTTGTATGAAATATATTAAAAGTGATTTATAAATAAGATCAGATGAGGATTTTTAAAAGAACATCAATCTTGATCTATATTACAAGATTATATCATGAACCATAACGATAATTTTTAAAAGAATACATACATTTCTGGTCAAAAAAGAATAAATACACTTCGTTCTAATGGGCGAACCCAGTCCTCTTAGAACCAAGGCTTAGCCGCAAGCCCTATGCGTCATTTTAGATCCAGTTATCAAAGCCTGCATTATGGGCTGAGTTTACTGGGTTCAATAAAACACGAGGGAAAGGTTTAGCGGTTCTTCCCGTGCGCGACAGAAGAGACCCGGCTTCAAAATTTTCCTTCCTTGTTCTTGTTTTGATGCTAATTTAACCTCGCCATTATTATGCGTCCGACGTTTTTGGTTCAATCATAGAATGTGAAGCAATTCAATCATCCAACGAGTGTGAGCTAGAAGTAGGAACAAATCGTGCTAGAGATGAAGGAGGAGAAAAATGCGTGCGAATCTCTTCCTGGTTCTCGATGCACGCGATCTCGGGCAGCTCCGGATTGGACCTTAACGGAATCACTCATACTCGTCAATGAGATTGCTGCTGTTGAAGCGGATTGCTTGAGAGCCTTGTCCTCTTATCAGCAGTGGAAAATGATAGCTGAAAACTGCGCCGTTTTGGACGTTGGGCGGGGCTTGAATCAGTGCCGGACGAAGTGGAATTCCTTGCTAGCTGAATACAGCAAGATTAAGGCCTGGCAGTCAAAGTCGCCTCGCAAGTCGTACTGGTCCTTGGAAAGCGAAAGGGCAAAGAAATCTGGTTTGCCTGAGAATTTTGACCATGAATTGTTTAAGGCAATTGATGATCTTGTCAAAGCAAGAAATGAACGTTGGGGGACTGACCCTGAGAGCGATTTCGAAGCAGAGGCTGAGGAGCTTGATGATGATGTGATCGAGGAAACAGGTATGCTTAATCTATCTTGGATTAAGATCGTTGCTGTTGACTTTCTAACAGAGTTTCTTAGTCAAGGTCTTATTGTTTAATTGTCTCTGTCTGCTTTTACGGTAATGTTTATCAGAATAAAATCGGCATGCACCAGATAGTCTTGTAATATGAATGACCCCTATTCATTAAATGTAGTAAAGCTTACTCGTCAAAACACTCTTTTACTTGAGCCACGTAGCAACTATGGTCATAAGCAAAAAAATTTCATACAGCATACATACTAAGATGTAATCGTTTTTTATCATAACCTAATAACAACTATAAGGAGACCTTTCAAATTCAGGTTTACATGCACTCCTTAAAATGACTAAAATTAGCGGTGCTCTCTCACTCTCAGGTTATTTGATAGACAACTACAGCTGATATGCGATGAGTTTAATTATTGTTTCGCAGTACTAATCGTTTTGATTCAGTCATCTGTAAAGACAGATAATCCTAACGTGTTTTTATTTGACAAACGTTGACAGAATTGTTGACTTGATTACTTGTGTCTTGAGCTGCCTCTTCATCATAGAGTTTCAATTTTATTCTTGTTCTTGTTTTAGAGTAATAAGCAGTGGTATATGTATTTGGACACCCTTGGCCTTGGTATTATGGCGGGGGATGAACTGGTCTGTTTTTATGTATTTAACGAGTGAGCGTTGAATTAAGCATTGAAATGAGGAATTTTAACAATGTTATATGCATGTTAGACACCTACTCTATGTATTCAAAGAGCGAGCATTGTGACAAAGAATTTCTGTTGTCCACCTTACATATAGTTTCTTACCTTCGTTAGTGGCAGCAGGGCATGATAGGATCCTTAGTTACTTAATTTTTCCTCTGTAGCTGTAGGGCCTGGCAGTGTTCGAGTGCTTACGTTAGGCTTGTAGCTAGTATGAATACGTCTTAAGCTTAATTATCTGAACCTGATCGATCTGATATGCATAGCTGCCTTGTATGTATTTTAAATCGCAAATGAACGCGTACACTTCAGCAAATGCTTATGTAGGCACCACGAAAACCTACTACTGGAGTATGGGTAAATGCACGTTGTCTTGATTGAGTAAATTAATGAAATCATTCATCAGTAAGTTGTCTGTTGCCCAAATGGATTTTTACCACTTATATCTAGTAGTCTCATCATGGTTAGAAGTCAACATTGATGAGCTTTTATGAATTTGAAAATTAGGGCCCAAAAGAAAAGGGCGGTGGTTTAAATCCAAGAGGCATGCGCAAAAGCTTAAGAATTGCCTTTTAGAGGAGTCTTTAGAACTCTCAAAAGGAAGGCATCAAAGAGACTATGTTAAAGAACGGCCTGAGAAAAGCCAAGAGCCTGAAAAAAATCATGTAGAAGAAGATCATTTGAAAGACTTGGCACGAGAGAGAGCTAATTCGAAACATGCACAAGAAAAACCTTCAAAGGTTGACATGGAAATGTCAGTGAAGAGCCTTGCCAAAGGAAAGCTGCAAGAAGCCCAAGTTAAGGAAAGGCCAAGCAAGACAATAGGCAAGGAAGAAAACGATGAGATGTTGGCTTTGAAATTGCAAGAGTTGGCGGAACAGGTACTGGCCACTAGTACTGAAACAGCAGACTGTCGGACAGATTGCTCACAGAATGTTGAGGCCTATCGAACTGAATTTACGAGACGTCAGGGAGACAAGCTCATAGCAAGCCTTGGAGATCTCGCACACACCCTTAAGCAACTATGCAATCTTCTCCATGAATGTAAATAAACATCACAATTTGCTCGTTTAATTGTCCTATGTTATTGCTATGTTTGTGAATGGACGTTCTTCTATGGGCTACGGCAGCATGGTTTTAGTCTGATGAATCGATTTAGTGCGTTGAAAGATTCCTAACATGGCAGTGATGTATTGAAAGATTTTCATAAAATGCAATTTTATATATAATCTATCCATAAGAAGTTAGACGGGAATAACATTAATTTAATTTGCCTTATTTTGGTTTCCGTTTTTTTTTTTTCAATGTATAGCATTTCTTTCTTTTTTAATATGACTAGGGGCATATAAGTATAACACGTTAAGTATACTTTTTTTTTTGTTGTGCTTTCTTTTCAACATTTAATTTTTTTCAAAAATATTATATGATTTTAAGTTATTAAGTGAGGGGAAAAGAATCTAGTTATAATGCTGCATGAAAAGTCATTGCGTTATTGAATGGTCAAATATAAAATATTAAAAACCGTCGCGACTCCACTGGGGATCGAACCCAGAATCTCTGGTTCCGTAGACCAGCGCCTTATCCATTGGGCCATGGAGTCAACTGATGGGGGGGTGCGTAAAAATTACCTTAATCTTGTAAATGTAAAATCACTGCAGGTGGAAATTCACTTTAAGTTCCCAGGGATTAATAATTTCAACCCTCGAGTCCTCGACCCAAGATTTTGAGTGACAACCGAATTCCTCATGCCATAAATTTACAGATTTACATGTTATGAGAGCGTTGGATATTGAAATGTCCCCAGTATACGAGGATCCTATTTTGTTGGCCAAGTCACAAGTGATCACGATTGAGAGAGTGTGCAGGGTTTTTATTTTCTGAGAGAAAAACTGGGGAGAAGCATAACAGAGAATTTAGGACGCATATGCTTGATGGGCAACAGGCACATGGGATGACAAAGTAAGTACATATGCGGGAGTAAAATTATACATACTAGGGAAGTGAAAAGTCGCAAATTATAACCTATTCACAAAAATTCAGATAAACACCAAAGCTCTAGTTTCAAAAAATGAAACTTGCATGCCATCTGCTATATATTCTTAGGTGCAGACTTATCATCATCACCATCATCGTATTTTACACTTCCAAATTCTTTTTTTTTTTTTTTTTACTAGCTTGACACAATTTTTTTAACACGAATTTAATACACCGCTGTTACAGCGCCGGCAACAAACAAAAGTATATATAAAGACACTGGATTTATAAAATAACGGCTCCTCAGCCTCCCAAAGTTTCAAGCTGAACCTTTCAACTCCTCAAAACTATAAATGGCCCATTTCATACAAACCCTCCAAGCAAGGCTCCGTTCTGGGCATAAACGTTCGCTCATAAAACAACCACCTTGCTCAGAATCCAGAGCACCAGAGAAAACTCAAAGGCAAACAGAGTATGGAGCAATCCTCGATCGAGCGCGAACCCAAACAGCGTTATCCCTACGTTATTGTGCTGTAAATACGTCACTGCATCCAAAGAAATCAAACACAACATGAATATAAACACCTAACGAAGCATCAACATCCTCAAACATTACGAATAAGAGGATAACACTCACCTAAAGCTTGCCTGGTTTGAAAGGAAGACGGCTGTTGAGGGGTTACTGATATGTATATGTCGGAGGTATCATAATCACTCTCATTTCCAAATCCTTCTGGAGTCTGAGATTTCCATTGATTATCGGATTCTGATTCGGCAGACGCGTTTGTGACTAACATGTGCCATCTGGTCGCAATTGCCACTATCCCTTGAGCTCTGTGTGTGATCCTCGCGGCTCCCAGTAGGCACAAGAAGCACCCACATAACTGAACCACCGAACATATCTGCATTTTCCCAATGTTTCATCCCAATACTTTAATTAATTACTTGTTTGATCCACCAGTCATTGTCGCAACGAGTGCTTAATTATATGGTTACTTACCACAAGATCACCGGAATTGAAGAATGTCTTATCGGATTTGGAAGCTAAAACCAGCAGGAGAGCACCCGACTGACTAACGGTGATAGTAACCAAACACCCAATTATGAAGAACCTATATCTATGGCTCGTAACAGACAGCTGCTTTCTGATCTTGACATGCTCACGGAATATCACATTTGCATCAGAGCCACAACCTTCGAATAGCTTATGAACCCCTTCGAATCTCAGTATCTGAAGCTCGCAGGTTAGCCTAAACATCACGCACACCAACAAGAACACCCCTGTTCTGTAAATCCACGAAACCAACATTAACAATAACACGATGGAATTCAGGGGAAACCCGGGGCTTATATGTGGGACAGACACTTTCACTGTTGAGAAAAATATGATCTTGTGGACAAGCTCTACGAAGAAGGATGGTAAGATTATGGCGGCTAAGTATCTGAAGGCCTTCTCCAGCTCTCGCGTGTACCCTCGTCGAACGTACGTAGAGTCGTCCTGCAAGATGTCTAAGAAGAGAAGCTGTCTCAGCCCGTACCTGTGGAAGAAGCGAGAGAGAGTAAAGAAGGAGATAATGGCGAGGATTGATTCTGGTAACTGAACAAGCTTGTTGAAAGAGAGGGGGTCATCTTCAGCGGCGGATTCAGGGACTCGAATGAAGATGGAGGTGAGGATAGGGACGACGATGGCGAGAAACACGAACAAGACGTAAGAGATAAGCTTCCCTAGGCTGGAAGAGTGATCAAGAGCACACCATTTGAGGCTAATCCGAAAGTTTCGGAGCTCGTCGGAGATGATAGACTTGGACCTCGCGTAAGATGGCTGCAAAAGCAGAGGAACGTTATTCGGTTGGCATTGATCGGCGAAAGAGACGCGTCTGCCGGAGCAATCCACGTCAATGGCGGTGCTGGCGGAAGAGTCCATATAGTGTGGTCTGTAATAATGGAAGGGAAAGAGAGAACGAGAGCCACAGGAAATGGCAGCTCTTGATGATTTATATAGATGTGAGTGTATGAAAATGGGGTTTAAAAGAGGAGTGAAGAAGATGAAACCCAGAGAGAAAAAAGTAGAAACCTTGCTTTGTCTCGTGAGAGAGTTGTGTTTGCCTTGTAGGAGAGGGTCTCATGAAAGCCAAGAATAAAGCAGGGATACCGGATTTGTTTATGTATTAGGAGTAGCTTTTTCTATGTGCACGTCCTTCTCATATTCTTTTCTCTTCTGCTAATAGGATCATAAATATGCTTTAGCTGTCATTGTGGAACGTCTGGCTGCGTGCATACACACACACACAAGGCTAGAGCAAAATAAACAGAACTTTTATTTTCTACAATTTTAAGTTTAAAGAATTTATTCTTAGACTGAATTTGAAAGTTAATACCACCTGCTATCTTTAATATAAAAACTATGGGGCTAATTTATGGATATTAAAAAAATTGGTTAAATTAATTTTTTTTATCATAAAATGATATTGTCTTCTTTAAAATATACTGTCTATATTGAAACTATCATTTTATAAAAACTTTTTAATATGTGTTATCAACACAAGAATTATTTAAGAACGAAATTGATAAACATTGAAAGCAGAGCAAATTAAGAATCTTATATTTAAAATCAAATTGAATTTGTAATTAATTAACATGCTACAAGCCTACAATTTTAAAAAAGAATTGGTTTCTTTGTTGAAATTCGTGTCACAAAAGCAGCAAACTCAAAGTTTAGGAACAAAACGCGGTTTACTCTCTTGGCGTTGGATTTAAATATCCCAAGCTGCTCGAGTCAAAAGAAATACATAATGCGCACAAAACTCAAAACAATGTATACATATGGCATAGAACATGTTTTGGTTTCATGTTATAAATCACTTGCGTGATTTTTCACAGATTTAATATTACGATCATATGCGATTTTATGATAGATCTTTCATCTATGCATGCAATGTTTTATTTATACTTTATGACAGTAGAGATTCATCAACGTGACCAGCTTAAATCAAGAAAAGGAAAATAAAGCATCATCCATTTGATCGAGAAAAAATAATTTTAATAGAACATTGAAAATGAGACAGATGAAACCATATGGTAATATTAAATTTTAGTATAACAGTATATATATTATTTATAATAGTTAAGTGGACACCAAAGTAGAAGTGAATGAATAAGCAACAAAGGAGAAGTGCGTGGCGAGGAAATGGGGTCACGGGCCGGGACAGTGAGACTGGTCACTTGTCACTTCCCGTCTCAACTCTCTGCTGTTACGCCCACTACCACTCTTCCACGTCACCAACCAAATCACTCATCGGTCCACTGCCGCCAACTGGATCTGCCTTTTCTCTCTACATTTCTACGTATTACTACTCCCTTTCTTCCATTCAGCTGACTAGAAAATTCACTATAAATAATTTGATGATATATATAAGTAATTTAGAGAGACGATATAACATATACTATAATTAAATAATTTAATAACATTTTAATATCATCAAATTATTTAATTAGATCTTATATTAAGTATTGGAAGTAGTATTATCTATTATTATCTTCAGTTCTTAATATAACAGTTAGTTTGACTTTTATCTTGGTTCTAAATATAAAATCTCAATTCACTTTATCTCTCATATTTATCTTTTTTTTTCCCTCAAGGTAGTCCTTATAATAATGTTAGTTCTAACTACTTATCTGGTCCTTAATATATTTGAGACTTATTTAACTAATTTGATTAAATTAAGAAAGTTAGGCAAGTTAGTTAATTATAATAAATATGGTACTCATCCAGTCCTTAATATGTGTAAGACTTATAGTTAACTAACTTACCTAACTTTCTTAATTTAATTAAATTAGTTAAATGGGTCTTATATTAAGGATCGGAGGAGTATGTTTTTCCTAAAACACCATGATTATCTTTTTTAATATCATTCCTTCCTCTTCTGCTTGATTATGATGGAGGGAGTATCTATAAGGATAATTTAGAAAAAATTGATAAATATGATAAATAGGTCTTATATTTAAGACCAAAATCAATTTAATAATTAGGTCTTATATTAAGGATCAAATGAGTAATATATTTGATTAGTAAGGATATTTTAGAAAACTCCCGGGACCCCCCAAAAAAAAACCGAGAGAGAAGATCCCAATTTTTCAGGCATCATTAGAAGGAAAAACACGCCAAGGAAAAGAATCGCATACAAATAATGCTTGAATGAATTCTATAAAAAAAACTTTAATTTTATTTTCCTCATTTAAAAAAAAAACTGATTGAAACTTATTTGCTGTAAAGACGTTTGTTTATGAACATTTTAAATATTAAACAATATATAATTGTAATAAAAGTTTATATCATCTGCTCAGCGAAAACTTGGAGCTAGACTTCAAGAACTTAGATGGGATGCGCAGAAAATATATCAAGCATCCAAAAAAAAAAAAAACTACCTTAGTTGAGTAAAATTTGCCTGTACTTAAAAGGAAAAAAAAAAGCATAAAAAATGAAAATTATATAATATTGTCCATTGGACTACTGGGGAGAGACGGCCAACCGTCAATGCAAAAGGAAGAGACATAGAGTGTTCATCATAAACAAGGAAAACAACCCCAAACCAGCACACAACCTTGCTCTATAAATGTATTAAACTAACTCTCCTAAGCAAACAAGACTAAACCTGCCATATGTGGCCGGCATATACCAGTTCAATTCTTCCCAGCTGGAACGACCTTTTCAATGTCACTCCCCCTTTAAACTATTCATTATTATTTCCTCAAGAATCCCTATGCATGCTTATTGCTCTCTCTTTATGTGACCCAAAACTTGTCTCATCAGCTCTCATGCTGCCTTCCATTTTCCATGTTCTTCCATGTATGGCTCACCCCAAAGCCTCTCATGGGCTTCTCCTCCTCCTCAGCTTCTTCCTCCTAACCCTTTGCTCTGTTCCATCTTTGGCCGATGACCCTCAGGTTCTGATCGAGTTCAAGAGCTTCTTGTCTAATGCCGATGCCTTGTCCAGCTGGAACCAATCTATCAGTGTCTGTAACTGGAAAGGTATAAAATGTCGCAAAGGTGGATTTCACTTGATACTGGAGAAGATGGGACTGAGTGGCACTATAGATATTAATACCCTGTTGGGATTGTCCAATTTGCAGTCTTTTAGCGTCAAGAACAACAATTTTGAAGGTAAAATGCCTAGCTTTAACAGGTTTGGGAGATTGAAGGGACTGTATTTGTCCCATAACAAGTTCTCTGGAGACATCCCTGATAATGCTTTTGAGGGTATGAAATATCTGAGCAAGGTATTCTTGGATGAAAATGAGTTCACCGGTCGCATTCCTAGTTCTCTTGCTGAATTGCCCAACCTTTTGGATTTGGACTTACATTCGAATCACTTTGAGGGAAACATTCCAGAGTTTCGAACCAAAAATAAGTTCAGAGTTTTCAATGTATCCAACAACCAGCTCGAAGGTGAAACACCAGGAAGCACAAACGTTGGCGATCCCAGCGCAAATGATGGTAAGCTCACAATATAATCCTTAATCATCTCTCATGTTCCTGTAGGTGTTCAAATATTTTCAATGCTACTTACATTTCATTAACTTTTTTCGTCACTGTTATTTATAAGAGGAAAGTGTATTCAAGATGAGATTTAACTTTGTTTTTATTCTCACTTCATTAAGTTTCGTATCTAACATCTTTAGCCTAAGATAAACTTCGAGGTTGAATATTATTCTGTCTTTAGAAAGATATTCAAATTGCACGATACTTTTTATTTAAAAAACTATAGTAAGGGATTTGATTTCTTCCAGCTAGTTGAAAGATTTGGCAAGATACTACTGTATTTTATTTTATAGGACAGAGATGTATAAGCGAATGATTTTTATTCTGTGAATCCTTCATAGCATTAAATTTAATGGACAGGAAGCTTTATATTACTTAATCTAGTCATACGAAGTAAGCTGGAGCTGCATGCACGTTTATGCCTCAGGTCCAGTATCAACTGAATAATGCAGAGGCTAACAATGATCATAAATAAGAAAAATAAACAGTTGAAAATTGTGTTCTACATATTTTCTGAAGCAACATATTCTGCATACCATGTTGATGTCTGTTAATTAATTAATTTGCGGTGCAATAGGAAACGAATTGTGTGGAAAACCTTTGAGTCCCTGCAAAAAGTCCTCCTCAAGGAAGCGAGATATTCTTATAATTGCTATTATAGTGGTGGCTGTCATTCTCTTGGCTTCAATTATAGCAGCTTTAATTGTTCGTCGTCGCCGGAGGCGAAGAAGACGTAGTTCTCAGACGCAAACTACGGTTCAGCAAGTGCAGCATCAAAACAGTGCGCCATTGGTAATTAAGAAGAGTCCATCACTTGATCTGACAGTTGAATTCAAGAAGGGCGAGGGTGGGGATTTGAACTTTCTTAAGAAAGACAACGAGAGATTTGATCTGCAAGATCTTCTTAGAGCCTCGGCTGAAATTCTGGGCAGTGGAAGTTTTGGATCTACGTATAAGGCTATTGTTTTGAACGGACCAGCCGTGGTCGTGAAGAGATTTAAGCACATGAACAATCTTGGGAAACAAGAGTTCTTTGAGCACATGAGAAGGCTCGGAAGCCTAAGCCATCCTAACCTTCTTCCCCTGGTCGCTTTCCACTACAGAAGAGAAGAAAAGCTTCTGGTTTATGACTTGGTTGAAAATGGCAGCTTGGCCAGTCATCTCCATGGTATATACTATATACCTCTCTTCATCACAAACCAAAAGCTGGTAAAACTCAAAATGCTCATATATGATTTCAAATGCTATTTATTTTACAGGTAGGCGTGGTTCTGGGCTAGACTGGTCAACCCGATTGAAAATCATAAAAGGAGTAGCGAGAGGATTAGCTTACCTCTACAGAGAATTCCCAGATGAAAAGCTACCACATGGACATCTCAAATCCTCGAATGTTCTGCTAGACTGCTCAATGGAGCCTCGTTTGACGGAGTACGGACTCGTGCCGGTGATGAACAAGAGCCACGCTCAACGGTTCATGGCAGCATACAAGGCCCCAGAGATGAACCAATCGGAGCGACCCAGCCAGAAGACGGACCTGTGGTGTTTGGGGATTCTCATTCTGGAACTACTGACAGGGAAATTCCCGGCAAATTACCTACGACATGGGCAAGGAGCGAACTCGGACTTGGCCACGTGGGTGAACTCGGTGGTGAGAGAAGAGTGGACAGGGGAGGTGTTCGATAAGGATATTCTGGGTACGAGGAATGGTGAAGGAGAGATGCTGAAGCTGTTGAAGATAGGAATCTACTGTTGTGAATGGGACGTGGAGAATCGGTGGGATTGGAAGCAGGCGATAGCCAAGATTGAGGAATTGAAGGAGAAGGACAGTGAAGACGATTTCTCTTCTTTTAATAACAGCGAAGCAGATTTGTCCTCCTCCAGGCCTATCACCGACGAGGATTAATTCTCGCTCCCACCACCCAGCTAGTTCATATGGCCAATAATGTCAAGAAACCAAAGTTTGGAGCTTTTTTTCACTTGTATTGTCATTATTCTGATTCTTCCCCCCCCCCCCCTTTTTTTTTTTGTAGCATACATGTATCGATGACGATGAATTGCTGGACCGCTTGGTCGGTCAAAAATGGCTTCACGCTTACGCTCACACTCACGTTAGTCTTCGTCGAGGACCCCTTCGTGTGGTAAATGACGAAGGGCAAGTAAAGGACAGCCAATGGATTCTTGTATAAATAAATTAAAAAGAAAATACCATCATCCTTGTATCATTGGTTTTGTTACTTGTTAGAACGAAAGTTGTTTTTTTCCCCCCTAAAGCGCATAGATATCTTTTTATTAGATAAAATCTTATTCGAAGTACTATTAGGCACTAAATGTAAGCATATCTTCCAGTAGAAATTCAAACTTTAATTCATCATGTTATGATGGACTAATCCCTTTTCGTTAGATTCAATTATGTTGGTATAACCAAAACTAAACCAGGTTTGTGGAAATTTCGGATTTCTGCTAAGCATGAGAGAGCAGATTACACCTTTTGATTTTGGGGTATCTACCTTAAAAAAAGTCTCCTTTTTGCCTTTGAGCTTTCCTGCTGAGTATTGTGAATGGATTGTTGTATCTATATATTTTTTGCCCCCAAAAAAGCACCTTGTTTCTAATGAAATTAGTAGATTATCCGGGTACTTTATAGAATTTAATGCAACGATATCAAATTGCATTATTTATTCACTTTTTAATATAAAAAATATTTATATGTAATATTAAATTATAAATAGATTTATAAGTTAAATTAGACACTTCTTCCCCGTGCGATGCACAAGTCAATGCATTTGATTAAAATTATAGTTGTAATAGATTATTTGTGTAATTAGATTCACTTATATTAGAATAGATCATAATCATAATAAATTGTATGAAAATGTGTATAAAGAGTAAAAAAAATTGCAAAATTATATCACACTACACCGATACACCTAAAAAGGCAAAGAATATTAAACCCCTCTTCCACGCACATGAAGAAAGCAAGCATTTGATAAGCAGAAAATAAAAAACGAAAAGAAGAAAGAAAAACTACAAGTAGCGATTATGCGTTTATCTTCTTCAAAAAAATGTGTGATAACTCTAGTTTCATTACCAACTATTTCAAAATTTTCACTTGCCTGTCTTAAAGATCCTTCCTATAGTACTCTAGTAATCCCCTTGGGGTAATGCAACCTTCTATCTGAGTATCCTGCACAGAGTTCATAGGTTCAGTTAGTGAGTAGACCTTGAATAAATAAGTAATGTTGACCACTTACTCATCTACTTATGTTCTGTTCAGAATCATTCCAATCTAGCGAGGAGTGTATAACGAAACCTTTGGCAATCCACTTCCTTATAGCACATGCCACAATAAGACGTTAGGCATATTTTGTAGATTATTTTATTTGTTGGACACAAACTGAAGAAACGAAATAAAAGATCTCTTTTGAAAGCATTCGAAAATGACCGACTCATTGAGACTGCCAAACCAGCCTGGTACTGGAAAATCAAATACTACAAGTAAGGAGCAGTGAAGTGGATAGAACAGCCAAATTGTTGAAAGCTATTATGCCCCTTGTTGTAACAGAGGAAGGAGGAGAACAACTTTTAAAAGGTCATATAACCCATCATCTGATCCTCATTGTAGAGGAGTGACAAATTTGAGAGTTGTGTTTTAAAGAGCCATAAAATTCATAGAACGAACAGATTTGATGACCAACAATGAAAAAGTAATGTGCTTGTCTATCTTCTCATATGACTGCTCACTAAATGTCAATTAATAGGGGGATATTTGGAACAATAATGAGGCTATTTAAGCTCCAGCTGGGAATCCAACCTGTGTTCAATCCAACCATGTATTAAACCACTCCCAATTCAATTGGGCGTTACGAGATTTTATATATAAAGTAGATAAATTAATTTAAAAAATAATAAATAGAAAAACTAATATAAATCATAGATTACCAAAAGTCTCAGAACTAGAATCGATTTTTTTACTGGTTTTCAAACTTAGTACGGGATGAGGATATTTTATTTTATTTTATTTTTTGACCGAATATGAGGATATTTTATTAATAAATTGATTAGACCTCAATCATGAATCTACATCATGCGAGTAAGAAATATCCTAGATTTTTAGGCTTGAATGCTTGGGTACAGTCTGAGCTGGAAGTTTATCCATAAGATTTCATCGTTGGTTTTGGCCCACTGGGTTGAAACTTGACAAAAACCAGGACGCCAACAGGTTTGAGTCAAGCGTGAATATGAAAGTCACCCTTTAAATACAACTCCTTAGCTGCGCCTGGCTCATCACCATCATCATCATCAATCAATCATCAAAGCGAAGAAATGTCAGAAAAGAAGGAACGTCGAATTCTGGTGGCCGTCGACGAAGGAGAGGAGAGTATGCACGCTCTCTCATGGTGCCTCAACAATCTGGTCCACCCAAACTCCGATGATACTCTCATTCTGCTCTACTGCAAGGCACCTCGTCCTGTTTACACCGCCTTAGATGGCGCCGGCGGTTCGTGTTAATCCCATCGCTATTATGTTATGCCCCGTCTTTGCCCTTTTCTTCCTTCTATTGGCTTTAGCCTTTGGTAATTCTTTTTTTCTGGTCAGGATATTTGTTCTCTGCTGATGTATCGGCGGCCATGGAGAGGTACAGCGACCAAGTGGCGGATAGCGTGATGGAGAAAGCAAAGAAGCTTTGTGCAAATGCGCAGCAGCAGGTAGGTTTTAGCGATTTCCTTTTTCTGAGATTGATAGATGATTTGTGATGGAGGTGGAAATGGCGATTATTGACGAGGGTGAGCGAATGAAACAGGTGAAGGTGGAGACGAGGGTGGAGAATGGGGACGCGAGGGACGCGATCTGCGAGGCGGCGGAGAAGCTGGGGGCGGACGTGCTGGTGATGGGAAGCCATGGCTATGGCGTCATAAAGAGGGCCTTCCTTGGGAGTGTGAGCAACCACTGCGCTCAGAAAGCCAAGTGCCCTGTTCTCATCGTCAAGAAGCCCAAATCATAAATTCCTCCCTTCTTTCTTTCACTCCCTTGTAAATTTCCAGTGCTGTATTTGTATACCTTGTAAATTAATAAATCAGATAATTAAAAAAAGCTCTTTTTTTTCTTTCGCCAGCTGAAAAAAGCTCATGTACGTTGCTACTTTTCTGCGGTAGTATTTATAAGGCATTATCAGGAAAAGCTTCAGTAGTGTTTGAGTAAGATTAAAATTATTATTTTATAAGTGTTTTTTTTCGATTTACAAAAAAATATTTCTGAGAAGTGATTATTGAGATATCCAAACAACTTTTTGTATTACCTATCTTTTAAAATATAATAATTTTTTAATCATACTTTTATGTAATAAATAAATATACTTTTTAAAAAAGATAATTATATACATTCTAATATATTTATGTTAAAAATTTAATAAAATAATTTATAAATAGGATTAAAGAATTTTTTTCTTTCTCTGCCCGGTAAAAAAGGGTAGGTTACATAGTTTTTTGTTTATCATTAAATAAAGTTTGTTAATTATTTGTTCTTTAAAATGTTTACAAATATCATTGTTATATGATACTGGAGAGTCTAATTTTATTTGCGTTTTATATTTTTTTGGGTGGTCTATTAATTTAGCAAAAATAATACAAGGCCTGATTGGGAGAATTTAAGAAATCCCATATTTTATGTAAGTCTAGATAAAACTTCTTTTACATACTTATCTCGTATTCCATAAATCACTATTAAGAAACTACTTATAAATTGTTTCAAATGGGCTCACTGGTACTTGTCATTGGCATTTGGGAATAGTTGAAGCCAAAATGACAAAAAGACAAAACACTCTCAAGGGATGTTCAAAACACTCTCAGGGGGTGTTTGGCAATATGATAAAACCATGGTTTTGAGACCAAACCATAGTTTTGGTCTCAAATTTGTCAAATATGAAGAAAAATTAACAAACCGTGGTTTCAGGCCAAAACTATGGTTTTGAACTCAAAACCATAGTTTTAGGAAAAGTGAATCTATTTTGTTTATGGCTTAAACTAGAGAGTATGATTGTGCCTGTCAGAGTAGATCTCAATGATAATATGACTTTAACACCCCTTGATTATTTTTTTATAAACATATTTAATCTTATATTTTATAAATATATACACATATTAATTAATTATTAATTATATTATCTTATGTATTATTAATTATGTTGGTAAAAAATATGTTATTAACAATTTTATTTCTTCAAATTAAAATATATCATATTGACTTATGTCCTTTGTAGTAATTTGTACATATAAAAAGTGCTTCTGATAATAATTATTCAAATACTCTCACTTCACAAAATCTATTCTCCTAAGAATCTATTCTCCAGAAACTATTATCTAAACCATGGTTTGGTTTCATCCAAACACTCCCTTGGTTTCAATTTACCAAACACCTTGATCTAAAAAAATAATTGCTGGTTTAGTTCTCTATGGATTAGGTAGTTATTTGAATTCTTTTTTAAAAGTATTTGGATAGAAACAAAATCATGATTTTAAAAATATTTTTATAATATAAAAATAAATATATAAAAAATTTTGTTTCAATTTATAAAAAAATATTTTTTAAAAGCACTTTTGTAGTTAAGTAAACTAAGGGGGTGTTTGGATAAAACCAAACCATGATTTAGAGAATAGCTTCTGAATAATAGATTCTTAGAAGAATAAATTTTGTGAAGAATAGATTTTGTAAAGTGAGAGTGTTTAGATAATTATTATCAGAAGCACTTTTTATATGTACAAATTACTAAAAAAGACATAAGTTAATATGATAATTACATAAAAGATAAATTTTATGATATATTTTAACTTGAAGAAATAAAATTGTTAATAACATATTTTTTTACTAACATAATTAATAATACATAAGATAATATAATTAATAATTAATTAATATGTGTATATATTTATAAAATATAAGATTAAATATGTTTATAAAAAATAATTGAAGGGTGTTAAAGTCATATTATCGTTGAGATCTACTCTGACAGGTACAATCATACTCTCTAATTTAAGCCATAAACAAAATAGATTCACTTTTCCTAAAACTATGATTTTGGTCTGAAACTATGGTTTGTTAATTTTCCTTCCTGTTTGACAAATTTGAAACCAAAACCATGATTTTATCATATTGCCAATCACCCCCCAAACCTGTTATGGTGATACAGGTAATTATAAAAATTATCTTATTAAGTTTGACGCGGATTAAAAAAATTCCAATGTATCGATTGGCGAAAATGAACAATGCTAATGTTACAATGAACCTAAATTATTCTGGTAAAAAAAAAAAACCTAAATTATCATTCCATTCCGTACTGTTAATATTATGTTGACGATAATTGAAGATCGTCTGCCTTCCGCCTTTGTAAATATAAAAAAATGGCGGGTGTTATGTCTAATAACACTTTGTCGCGCCTAGACCCGCCGCCCAGTTTCCCTCCTTATCGCTGCCGCTGCTCGCTGGACGCCACCACGATTTTCTTCCAGTTTCCATGTAAAGTACTTCTTCGTTTCTGGATTGCTCCGTGTCATTTTCTTTTTCCTCTTCGTTGGTTCTGCGCAACCGAACCAAAGGATCATTTTGAAGAAGAATTCTAGATTCCATTTATCTAGTTTTACTTAACTATTCTCTTGTTGCCTTTTCAACGCTATTTCGGTTCCCGTCGCTGCGAAAGCCTGGTACTTATATCGATGACGTAAAGTAGTTCTCTTCGTTGAAGTCGTTTTTCTTTCTATTTTGCCACTTAAGTTGTGTCGTTGGTTAGCGAATTGCTGCTGAATATGACAGCCTCATTGGTCAAAAAAGATATTCGCGTGCCAATTTGGTGTCTACTTATTTTTTTCAGAGGAGGAAATGGAGCTTCAGAGCACTAAACTATACCTTAACCAACTTGTGGCAGCTGCTAGGGCTGAGCGAAGCTTTCTTGCACCATTGCTTGCTAAACCCGGTAGTTCAATGGGTTGGTGGGAAGGCGTCGGGGAACCTCGGGTTCTCATTGCCCCTGGTAAATCTATATTTATATCGTTGATTTTAAATGTGCGTCTGATTTTGTGTTGTCTGTAAAAAGAAATATAAATTCGTCATTCCGCTTGTCTTTGTGTATCTAGCATACGCATCATGTTGACAACTTGACCTAACTAAAGATTGCTTTATTTGTAGAGGTCACAAGTTATTGCTAATTAAGTAGAAACATACCTGAGGAAGATCTTATCATCAGATGTGATATGGTTAGCATGTTTATTATTGAGATGGCAAATTTCTAAACTTAAGTGTTAATGCACATAGGATTAGATGATTCTGAATGAAAGTAACGCTGTCTCGTAATCTATGAGTTCTGACAAGGCAAAAAGGATGTCTTTTATTTTAAAAGATAAAAAAAGTGGACCATTGGATTGACGAACAAACAATTTTCTCCTATAATGCACATGAGTGCATGAAAACAACTAGGAGACTCAAAACATGCTAATTATAGAATATATGTTTTATATGCCTTAGTATGCTATGTAAGTTATAGCTACTGATTAATTATTTTATTTTGATTTTTGTTCATTCACCGCCTTGTGATTGATATTATACTAAGTATGTTACTTTACAATCGCAAGAGCTTTTGAACTTTGTCTCCCTCTATGTAAATGCAGATCCTGGTACAAGTGGAAATGGTTTAGGACGCTTGCTTTTGCTTCGTCATCCCAAATCAGGTAGGTGCTTCCCCGAAATCATAATGTATGAGTTCTTGCGAACTGTGTGTCTCGAGTACTTAAAGTGTTGGTTAATTACTTAATTTAATATAGTTCTGTTAATATTGCTCTATCACTTAGCTAGAAATCCGTCTTTGGGATATGAAATATTGAAGCTTTTGAATATTCTATCCTTATCTCTTTGCCTCCTCCTCCTATTTATTTATGATTCTAACTTGTTTTAACTTGGTTGAAGGAAATGCTACCCGCTACCTCTTTGTAAATGGGACGCTTCAAGAGCTTCAATGGTTTAAAAAATCATATGGATCGTGGTTCTTGGGAGATTATCTATGTGAAGGTAGATGCTGGATTTCCTCAGCTATATAGTATTGATCTAGTGGTGCTCCTTATTTTTGCACGGTCACACACACACACACACATATATATATATAGTTAATTAATTATATGGCATTTGGTACATTTCTATTTATAATTTGTCTTCTGTGTGAGGAAAACTAACAGTTTTCTTCTAATGTCCTTTTCTTAGATTGCATGAGATTATTTCAACTACTTAGTCTGTAATCAGTCTATAAGTCTCTTTCACATATGATAAATTTATTATGACTGCATAGATTCAGCTTGAATTCTTGGCAATTACTGTCAGTTTAATCATTATTATTCATATTTTTCTTCTTCTGCAGATGGCAGGTTGTATCTGTCCACTCCAGTGGATCCTATTTTCATCATGTTGCCCATTTTTGAGGAAGCTAGAATGAAGGTAATTCTGTGTTTCTCATCAGCCAATTTTGCAGAGGAAGGCATTCCTTATTTTCCTATTCCTCGTATGAATTAATTAAGGGTTAAGGTGCGAATCCACCCATGAAATATTCTGTCAGGAGCACCAAGCACCATAAGCTTTTCTTGGATGTAAAAGTACGCATGGGTCAAAAATACTATGGCTGCTAAGTCAACTAACATGAACCGTTTAACAAACATGTCAACTAAAAAAATGGTGCTAAAATACACATGAACTTTTTGAAATAGCGCAAAAATACACATGAACTTTTTAATGACCGTGGCATTTTTGCATCATCTTGAAAACTTTATTTGTATTTTTGTACCGTTTTCTTGACCTACATGTTTGTTAGATGGTCAACATTAGTTGACTTAACAGTCATTGCATTTTTGCATCATTTTAGAACTTTTATGTATATTTTTGCATTCAAAAAAAATTTATGGTGTTAGCCCCTCATAACAAAATACTTTATGGTTAAATTTGCATCTTAACCCATTAATTAATGATCAACTATTTTTAACAAGGCCAAATTGAATTTTCTGCTACTCATCTGCGACTTCTTACATATGTACCAATTTTTCCTATTAATATCAGTTCAACATTAAAGGAATCCACATAAAAGGCCAGTCGCATGCTCCTGCTTGTCAGGCTGTCAAAGAGTCTACTTTTCTTAGCAAGTTTTTCTTCTTCTAGTATTTATGAGAAATGAGGAATTTGTTCTTGAGCCATGGATAGTATTTTCATATTTACGAACTCTACTTGTAGCATTCAGCATGTAGTTGGGGGATTTTTATATTTTTCTGAGCATAGCAATGTCAAAGATATGCTCTTGTCTTGCAGGGCCAGATAGGTTCTAGAATTCTGCTCATTTTGAGGAAAGAGATAATTTATGTTTTCTGAATATCTCAAGTTATCATTTAATTGCATGCAGAAAGGGGAAGATCCTGGTAAATTCAGACAACTGGATGAGATCTTGTTTGTTGATGGGTATCCTGAATATCAACATTTATTGTCCACAGTGGAGAACTGTATGCAAGTAGTTTGTGAAGTTAAAGGTGACATGTGCAGCCCTTATCTAGAGCTGCAGTTTGAAAGTTTGCCAAGTTATCTTATGATTTTAGTAAATAATTTAGCAGATATTTTGAGCGTAAATTCGGATGTCTGTTATTGATTTAGGACTTTTCTCTATTAGACTGGTCATGGACAATTAAACATGATGATCCCATTGTTGATCACTTCAAGGCATGCTATACTTTTTGCTTCCTTTTCCCCCCATAATAATATCCAGGCATATATGACTGATTTTTAAATCTTGACAATGGGATAGATTCTTTATGGAGCTTTGTAGCAATAAAATTGTCATACGGGGGAATAGCCGCATGGCTGTCTATGGGGATTAATTTTGCGGAGATCAATTTTCTACAAAACTATGGTAAGAATAAGTGATTGTGGTGATTAATTTTTACCTCTTCTCTCTCTACATATGCAGAAGTTGGGTCAACGAAATTTTTTAGGCTTGATGATTCAAAGGTTCAACGTTGGCTGCATATTAAGGTGAATCTACATATCCTCTCTGTCTTGTGAAGTGATGTCTGTGCTTTACAATGTTCTTGACATAAAGTGACTGTAAGAATAAAACATGGCTGATATATTCCCTCGTATTATGTTAGCCATTTAGGACATGTATCCTTTGGGTATATTGTGAGAGTGCTTTCATCTGACATAATTTTTTATTTATCCTGGGATATATTTTTGGTTATTACTGATTTGGGTTGCTTGAAAAGTTGTAACTGGTATTAAAATTTATTGTTTTGACATCTCTTATTTTAGGTTTGTCAGCTGAAGCAGACACTACCCCAGCTGGGCAAAAACTATGCTGTACAAGAAGAGAAAGACACATGTAAAGTCTGTAAACTGTTTGTTACCATACTGTTCTACTGGCTGTTGAAAATTTTCCTCTGGTTGATGTTGAACCGAGAAAAGGAAATATCAACACGCTATATTGAAAGACTGAACATGTTGGGAAAACATATTGGGCCTTTGGATCCTGTGCTGGGGTATCTGGCTATCCGCCCTTAGATTTATGCGTTTTGACTATTGTGTATACAAACATTATGATGAGGCTAGATTGGCAACCTGTGGAATTGATGTTTTTAATCAAGTAAATGCATGTTAAAACATTGGGTGCAGATCTATAGCATAATATACTGTATTTAACCAAATGATCATCTTTTCTTTGTTATCAAATTCACAGAATGGGAAACGGACCGCAGAATTTATCCTATTGGCAGATTACATGGTTGATAGGCAACACACTTGATAAAATAAATATCCCACTAGAATTTCCTATCTTTTCTTTTAGATTACGCACTTGAAAGGCATCTCTGGTTTTTTGGCATCACAAATTTTGCTGCTTAATAATATACTGATGTTACTGATGCAGTGGTGGACGCAGTCTCAATGTTAGGAGAGTACTTGAGGAATGAACCGTGGTTGCAGTATTTGTGTAATCATCTTAAGTATGGCCTTTGAATGTGTCTTGTCACGTAGATATTACTCGGATATACTCTTTGGGCTTAAGAACTGTTTTAACAAGGACTTAACTTTTGCAGGTTAGACATACTTGAGGTTACTGGGAAAGCACAAGTGAGCGAAGCTCCTAGTAATGACCCTGGTTTTGTTAATGAATTACAGGTATTTACTAATACTAGAGACTTGTGGTTGCTACCATGAATTTTAATATAATTTGATAGCTTGTATTAATTATCATCAGGAAAAGAATGAGGATAAAAAGCCTGCAAAAAGGGGAAGACAAGCGAAGAAGCCAAAAATGGAGACAGAATCACACAACATTAAAGACATGTTCACCAGGGCTTCCCGTAAGAAAAAATAAGGCACTGTCATTTGGTGAAATATGAGTTAATTGTCATTAAATGGATGGTGTTCTCCAGACACCGGGGTTATGGGATAAGCGTTGAGTCAGATCTTACTTTGTACCGTCCAATTTATTTTGAGGATATGATTAAATATTTTGCCCATGTCGCTTTCAATATCACATAGATGACCTTTCCTCTGCCTTTATAGACCACATCTAAATATGATGGGGGGTCGTTTACTTTATCCCTTCACGTGATTTCTAGCGCAAGTAGATATCTTGATGCTTGTTGAACCTTTCTTTTTCTTTTTTCCTTTTGAGTGTAGACGGGTTCCCATTTGGTGCTCATCAGGTGATGAGCACCCAATGCTCATCACCTGATGAGCAATCTGGACCGTCCAGATTTAATTTGGACGGTCCAGATTTAATATCATTAAATAATTATTTTAAAATAGAAAAAATTATATTTTTAAAAAATGATAGTTATGAGATTATTTTTATTTTTATCTTATACCTATTAAAATAATTATTTTTAAAAAAAAATAAAAATAAAAATAAAAATAAATCTGGACCGTCCAGATGGGTGATGAGCATTGGGTGCTCATCACCTGATGAGCACCCAATGCAAGTCCGAGTGTAGACCGTCCTCTTCAAGCTGCTGGACCCTGTCTGCTAGGGTTTAGCAGCTTCTATCCCCTGGGCTTTCTTCTTTTTGTGGGAGAATTTTGACTATGAAAGGCTTTTTTCTGTGGATGAGTTTTGGATTTTCAATATGTATGTACGTGTTGAGAGTTACGGCCTGATGTATAGATTAGCTTAATTACTCAATAACTCATTTTATTGTCAATAAAGCTTGAAAATAAAGGATTTATAAGAGATTTATTATAAGTTGAAATTAAATTATTATATTTCTGTATTAGAAAATAAAAAAGACTATTTTTCTAATCAAAATAATATATTTCTGTAATTAGATATATTTTTGAATATTCTATAATTAAATATATTTCCGTTTCATTTATGTGGAATGACGAGAAATCTCGAAGTCATATTATTTATCTGTAACGAGATTTCTGACGTGCCCATTTGTTTTTTTAAAATATATTAATTAATGAGTCGTTTTAGAGTCTCAACTTTGGAGTGTGAAACTGTGAACACGTGTTGCTTTGGCGTGATTGATCAGTGGCAAAAAATTAAACACCTGATTGATTGCATTGAAACATAATGGCGGTTATAGATAACGGCCTCCTTAGTATTTTATTGTCCACTTATGCTGAACCAATATTTTGTCCTTTTTTTATTTCATCTTCCCAAGTCAGGTCCACAAAAAAAAAAAGAAAATCACCTTCCCAAGCAAAACATTCAATAAAATTGAAGTTTTACAATATCCGAATCTTTTGTACTTTGTCTGGCCTCCATTTGACGTAGCAATCAATATTAAATACTAGCCTTCGCCTTGACTACGACAAAAGCTTGCATTTTTCACACCATTCTCCATCCCTTTCAGGCTTTCACCTTGCAGACTCAGAAAGCTTCAAATCCCCCTCCTCTTTTCCTGCTTCTTCATCCACAACTTCATCTGCAAAGGTATTCATGATCTACAAGTTTCCCACTTGCACGTTCCTGAATATAATTTGAATCACAATTCACCTGCACTGATCAGTCGTTTCTATTTTGCATTGCTTTCCGTTCATGCTAGTTTCCTTTATTTCTATTTCTATTCTTTTTCTTCGGGTTTTGATTCTTCGTTGCATGATGTTTATGCTCTAGTGTTACTGATGACTCTTGACTGGTTTTGACGAACTTGTCTGCAAAAATATTGTTGTTCCCCAGAAAATCAATAAGAAAAAAATAAATAAATGCTTTGACTCTTCTCTTTCGTTTCATTCAACACGGAGGACGCCGATTTAATGCGAAGATCTGTAACTCGCTGGGTTACCTGAGTTTACGAAGTAGGAATGTATCAAAACAGTTTACGGACTTATTGTGTATGACGTTATGGGTTAGAGAATGAGGTTCTCTTTTAAGAAGGCGTCTACGCAACCCAAGCTTTCTTGCAGAATTTGAAGCTTCCTTCAGACTTCAGAGGAATATTCCCAACTCCCTTTAGGAGTTACTGTCTTGTATATTAGCCCGTTAATAGCCCACTTTTCTAGAAGTTCGGTACAAATAGCTAGTTTTCCTTTACTCTCCTTTCTTCCATTCTATATTGAGAAGAATTTACCAAGTTTTCAAGTGGAAAATGATGCCCTTGCACATGATTAGAATGTCCTTGGCCTCAGAGGTCTCTTTCAGAGCAGATGAAGGGATAGAGATAGGATTGAAAGCCAAATATAAATAGGGCTATTTAGTATGTTCACTAGTAATATATTCTATTTTGGATATTACTATCAAAAGTCGTTTAATTTCTCTTCATCAATAGGTCTCAAGCAAGCTTATAAGTTGAAAGAAAGGAAGGTGGAGAGTGGAGAACATCTCTTGCTTCCTCAAGTTCCAATGGCAATGGTGGATATTGAACTTACATGTATTGATAGCGATAATGTTATGAAGATCCTTGAAGCTGAAGGTGTTGAGTTTCTTCTATCTTGTGAAGGACAGGTAACTTGGGTTATGCAGAAACTTTCTGTAGGGTTTGTCTTTGGATATATATATATATATATATATATATATAATATGTATGTGTGACCATCCTCAAAAATGTCTGCTTCGTTAATATATGTTTATTGCTAATTCATTACCATCTTTGAACTGAGATTAGGTACCCTTGTCATCATGCAATGGGAAAACTATCTGCCTTTTCTTCTCTGCAAACTGGTGCAGGCCTTGCAGAACATTCATGCCCCATCTGGTTGAACTTTATCACACATTGAGAGATAGGGGTGTAAGCCTAGAAATTATCTTCATCTCCTTTGACCGTGATGAGGATGCATTTCAACAACACTTTAAGAGTATGCCATGGCTGACCATACCATTTAATGTTAATTTGCACAGAAGACTCATTGACAGATACCGAGTATATCGAATCCCATCATTCATTCCATTGTCCTCAAAGGGCATCGCAGTAGAAGAAGACTGGACAAGTTGCATTGAGGATTATGGTGCTGAAGCCTATCCTTTCACAAATAAGAGACGTGAGGAATTGAAGGCCATAGATAAGAGAAAGCGCGAAGAAGCAAGTTTGGAAGAATTGTTGATTTATGAAGGGCGCGACTTTCTCATCTCCATGGATGACAAAAAGGTAGCATGATCCCTTGCCTGAATCTGTTGCTTATTATGTCATAAGATAGTAAGTAGATGAAATCAGTAGGGGTGAACATGACTGAAATGTATGTTTGACATACATGTCCTTTCATGATTGACTTAATCTATTTATGCAAAATGAGTATTGTTAGATTGCAAATCCTTACCAATAAATAAAATTGCAGCTTGAAGAAAGACAGAGAGCGTGAGATATGGCCCATTTGTATCACACTTTTAACTTTGTCTACTTCCTAATCCCAATGGTAGGTTCGCTTCTATCTGGTTACGAAATTTTTCATGACATCGTTAAGCGTACATAAGATTTCTTATTGTTGCAGAAACTGTTATACAAACCAAGGTGAAATTGTCATAAAATAGGCAAACTAGATCAATCATAGAAAGACATATAAACATGACACAGATAGGCTCCATTTAAAAGGTCGTTTCACATGCTTACATATATTTTTCATGACTACTTGATCAACCAATCATTTGTAAATGCTATAGTTAAGCAATTGCGACGTGCTTTATTGTTGCAGGAACCAATATCTGGACTGGCGGGAAAAACAGTAGGCCTCTACTTTTGTGCTTACTGGTCTCCTCCTTGCCGTTCCTTCACCGTCCAACTTACAGAAGTATACAACGATCTCAAGACTGCAAAAGACCACTGCTTTGAGATTGTTTTGATCTCAACGGACAGAAACATCCAAGAATTCAACGTGAACAGAAGTACTATGCCATGGCTTGCTATTCCATATGAAGACAGAACAAGGCACGACCTTTGTAGAATCTTTGATATCAAAGGGATTCCAGCATTAGTTCTCATTGGCCCAGATGGTAAGGTCATAAGCATGAATGGGAAGTTTATGGTATGCACATATGGCGCAGAAGCTTTCCCATTTACAGAATCAAGGCTCAGGGACATCGAAGCAGCTCTGAGAAAGGAAGGAGAGGCTTTGCCTCAAGAGGTTGAGGATGTGAAGCATGAACATATGCTGAAATTGGATATGGCCAAAGCATACGTCTGTGATTTCTGTAAAAAACAAGGGAGGTTCTGGGCTTTCTCTTGTGATCTCTGTGACTATGACCTACACCCTAGTTGTGTTGAAAAAAAGGTGAACAAAGATGAAAGCTTTTAAAACAAGACGACTACACTACACTTATAAGTGAGAAACCAGATTATACAGACTGGCTATTTTTTATGGGGAAGAAAAGAAAGAATTGATTCAAGAATCTGTAAAACAGTATAACGTACTCGGAGACTACAGAAGAACATCTTTATTTGGTACTGTTCTGTTAATATTAATAAAAGCTACCGTTTCCAGTTATAACATTATCTAATCACGCTATTTGTCTTAGTGTTCGTTTGGTATGATGGAAATGGAAGAGGGGGGATGGGAGAAAAAATTTTAATAAGTTCGATATAAAAAATTTTAAAAAATGAATTTAAAAGCTTTTAATTAATTTTTATTACTTTTTATATTACTTCTTCTTTTTATTAAAATTTTAAAGCCCTCTTTTTTCAATTTTTTTTATAGAGCTCATTAAAATTTTTCTTTCGCTCTCCTCCATTTTTACATATCAAACAGTAACTTAGGTAATATTGTTAAGGAGGTATGAGATAATATTGGGAAAAGAATTAAAAAAACTTCGAATACAAAAAATTTAAGAATAAAGAAGAAGAATGAGATGGACAGAGAAATAGCTATATACTCTTCTAATCCTATTTATAAGTCATTTTTAACATGTTTCACACAAACCAAAAAAACACTTTAAACTCTATTAACTCATTTAAAATTCAATAACTTTTTAATTTTATCCCTATTTAATATACATTATCTATCATATAAATAAAGTTAACATAATAATAAATAAAGGATAAAATTGCATATTCATACAAAATTTCTTTTAGTATCCTATCAATATGATTAAAAATGCATTATCTCTCTGCCTTATAAATAGGACCAGAAGAGCACACCAACATTTGTACATATGCTATGTCAGCAGTGGAGATATTTTTTTAATTGAAGATTTGTCATTTTTGTTTTTGGCCTTAAGATTTGTTGGGTTACTATCTTAAAATTCATGAAATTTGGATCCAGTATTATTTTCTTAATTCCTTTTATTTTATAGGGGCCCTTAATGGGAAAAGGAAAAAATCTTGTTCTTGTCTTTAAAAAAAAAAAGTAAAACTTTATGCTCAATAATATGTGATGTATCTAATTTAATTTCAGACTATAAATCAGATATCCTTGTATAAGGCACGTGCATATAAACAAAAATTATTCTTTTTTTAAAGCTGCGTCCTCCAAGAAAGGGCCCTTGATTTTCTTTCGAGAAGATATGAGATGAATCACCTGAAGGACGAGTGTGTGTGGCCTGATCAGAGATAACCCGCAAAGTTAGGCTGTTCTCCCATGGAAGAGAGAGAAAGATAAGAACCTGTGTGGATATCTCATTCCGGAAAAGCTCAAAATAGTTAAAAAGCCCAAAAATGGCTGCCAGTTCCTGACAGAAAAAACATCTGTCAACTGCTATTCTTATGCCGTTTGAATACCCAAGAAATAAGCAAGAGATAATAAATCAAACAAAATCAACGCAACACAGGATGTATTCAAACACAACAGAAAACAGAACAATAAATTATCCTTAGAGATTTGCATCTTTCATTCGGTATGGACTGAAAAAAACCAAGAGATTCCATGTTCACAGGATGTCACAGATGTTACAAACCTCGAAAGGGGAACTATAAGTTGAAAAAAGGAAATAACTTTGGATAATGCCAGAAGGATGATGAGGTTATGAGTTATATTGTTCAATGTTTTTGGATTGAAAGAGGTTTGAATTGAAAAGAGAGAGAGAGAGAGAGAGAGAGAGAGGAATGTGGTTGCCGAAGAATCAACCGGAGAAGAAGGATGGAGTGCTGGGGATAGTGGCAGTGGCAATAGACAGAGACAAAGGAAGCCAGAACGCACTCAAATGGGCCATTGATCATCTTCTTGTACGAGGATCCACCGTAGTTCTTATCCATGTCAAGGTTAAGCCATCTGCATTGTCTGCATCGCCTTCTCTTCAAGTCCCAAGTGAGTTCATATATGAAACAAAGCACCGTAAATAGCGTTTTGTTTAAATGGTTTCAAGATGTTTGTTTCTTTGTTTGCAGAGGCTAATGGCCCTGCGGACGAGAGTTCTCTAGTATGCAGAGATCCTGATCCTCAAACCAGAGAAATTTTCCTGCCATATCGGGTCTTCTGTACACGGAAAGATGTAAGATTTGCTTCTCTTTCCGATCGAGAAAACCAAGAAAAGAAAAGAACAAGCTTTGAAACAACAAGTACTGTTTGTACCATGACTTGTTAATTTTGCTTCAGCACTAAAGACAAAACAAACAATTAACGTTTTAGATTTGTTGACATAATTTTATGTTTCTTACCATGTCTTCGGTTTTTGCATGGCGTGGAATTGTGGGGACGGACCATAGATACAATGTAAGGACGTCATACTGGAAGACATAGATGTAGCGAAAGCGTTAATCGAATATGCTTCACATACAGCAATTGAACATTTGGTTCTTGGTGCGTCAACCAAAACTGGTCTGCTTCGGTATGTAAACACTTCATACGCACTACGTAAGATGCCCAGAAGTATAAATGAACGGACTTTGACATTGTTACTAATGAACAGACATAGCAATAATATCATATAAAACCATGCTAGCTTGACCAACTATGAGCTCTTCACCTGTTTGTTTCACATTCCAATGATGGGGATAATATCTTACTTTATTGACACCCTCTAGAGAGAAAGAATCTCAGCATTATTCTATGATTTCCCTAGTTGCAAGTAATATTATTGAAATCCCAAATAAAAGGCTAAACTTGTTGAGAAGGATATGTGTGTGCGCGCATTTTCTCAAAAAGATTTTGTTATCAGAAGATTCAAGGCAGCAGACATTCCAGGAAGTGTGGCAAAAGGGGCACCAGATTTTTGTAATGTGTATGCTGTTGCTAAAGGGAAAATCCATTCGATGAGATCTGCTACTCGTCCTGCTCCTGCTGTTTCTCCCCTACGCAACCAGCTTACTCAACCAAGCGTCAAGTCTGATCACTCAGACCCTGGACCAGGACCAGGACCGGGAGTACCTCCAACTAATAATACTATGAGAGGTTAGATTCATCTCTTCAAGTATCATTAGTGCATATATAAAACTTAGCTTAGCCTCCATGTTGCTCACAGAAATAATTTTTAACCAGGACGTGGTAGGCGGAGCCTTGATGGGCCAAATAAATTGCAGGATGAATCAGAATCATTTAGGTCAGTGACATTGATTAATGTTTACTGACGTTGCTTGTTTGCGTAGTGAAATAGAAGCATTGTTTATCACCTGAAGGCTAAAATGGAGTTGGAATTGTAGGTCACCATTCACTAGGAGAGGTATGAATGGGAAGTCATATGGGGAACTCTCCGTACCAGATACTGACATATCCTTTGTGAGTTCTGGTGGAAGGTCGAGTACAGATCGCATGTTCCCTTCAATATTTGACACCCCAGAAACTGGATTCTCCAACCCACGTCTATCATATAGCCCAGAACCAGATAACAATCATAGTTTCGAGTCATCCTCGCAGTACGGGAGAAGGTCTGTGGATATGGTCAGCCCTCCTCCTGAATTCTCATCAAACTCACAGGATAGTGACAGACTTTCTTCTTCATCAGGCCTGGTAAGCACAAGCAAACAATTAGTGTTCATGCCCATATAAAAATTGTCATAAAAGGAAGGTTTTTAACATCAAAATTAAGACAAGCTGCTAAGGCCCATCAGAACGATAGATTTGAATTCATGAATGCATTTATCATGATGATAATCTTGCGCTGAAATTACAGGATGATGTGGAGGCTGAAATGAGGAGATTGAAGTTGGAGCTCAAGCAAACAATGGAAATGTACAGCACAGCTTGTAAAGAAGCTCTCTCAGCAAAGCAGAAGGTAGTGTATTATGAAATTACATTACATCTGTTTTGTGTCTCTAATAGGGCAAACAGTTTTACTTGATTCTGCTTTTGTATTCCAGGCAATAGAACTCCAGCGATGGAAGTTAGAGGAAGAGCGAAGATTAGAAGAGGCGAGGCTAGCAGAGGAAGCTGCATTGGCAATTGCAGAGAAGGAGAAGGCCAAATCCAAAGCAGCGCTTGAAGCTGCTGAGGCACAAAAGAGAATAGCAGAACTGGAAGCACAAAAAAGATTGAGTGCAGAAATGAAAGCACTCAGAGAAGCAGAAGAGAAGAAAAAGGCACTGGATGCTTTAGTAAATATAGATGTCAGGTATAGAAAGTACTCCATCGAGGACATTGAATCTGCAACCAATTTCTTCCAGGAGTCACAGAAAATTGGAGAAGGTGGTTATGGTCCGGTCTACCATTGCCATCTGGACCATACACCTGTTGCAGTTAAGGTTCTGCGTCCTGATGCAGCACAAGGAAGATCACAGTTTCAACGAGAGGTAAGCTACACAACAAAATCAAGTTAACCCCACATAAGCAACACAGAAAATTCAACTCTATGTATGGAGTAGTTTGAACTTTGAAATCATATTGAGCAGAATGGTTACAATGTCTGTCTCTTGTACAGGTTGAGGTACTGAGTTGCATACGGCATCCAAACATGGTTCTCCTCCTAGGTGCCTGCCCAGAATATGGATGTCTTGTATATGAATTCATGGCTAATGGAAGCTTGGACGATCGTCTGTTTCGCCGAGGAAACACACCATCGCTTCCTTGGCAGCTCAGGTTCAAAATTGCAGCTGAAATAGGCACTGGCTTATTGTTCCTTCACCAGACAAAACCGGAGCCTCTGGTTCACAGGGACTTGAAACCAGCCAACATCTTACTTGACCGAAACTTCGTAGCCAAGATCAGTGACGTGGGTTTGGCCAGGCTTGTCCCACCATCCGTGGCTGACAATGTCACACAATACCGTATGACATCCACTGCCGGAACATTCTGCTACATAGATCCAGAATATCAGCAAACGGGAATGTTGGGGGTAAAGTCTGACATATATTCCCTTGGGATCATCTTGTTGCAGATAATAACAGCAAGACCACCAATGGGTTTGACTCATCATGTTGAAAGAGCCATTGAAAGGGGAGCATTCAACGAGATGTTGGATCCAACAGTGCCTGATTGGCCAGAAGAGGAGGCCTTGAACCTTGCCAAGTTGGCTCTCAAGTGTGCAGAGTTAAGGAGGAAGGACAGGCCTGATCTGGGCAAAGTCATATTACCAGAACTAAACAGAATGAGAATGCTTGCTGAAAGTACTAATCATCACTCAGTTGTGAGTGGCTATTTAAGCCCTCCCAACATCAGCCTAGTTTCAGCACCGGTGGTATGTTTTGCATTTTCTATCAACTTTTTTTTTTCTTCGCCTGCACACAGTGCCAAAAATTCAGTATTAGCAGTTTATTCACAATGTGTTGTTGGGTGTGGCTGGCCAGGTGCAGGATCAAACCGGCTACACAGGTTACTCTGCGGAGGGCACAAGAAATAGATCAAGTCCAGCTTGAGGACTCAACAATACTTGAAGAGAAGAAAAGAATTAATTGTAAATTACTTAGGTGGATTCATGTGCATACTTGATTTTCCAATCCATAGAAGCAGTTTTTCAAGTATTCTTTTGGTATTGCATACCATTATTTGGTTATAAAAAAAATAACTTCCAGCACTTAAAACAACTGCGTTGTGGTTTTTGACCTTTTCGTTTTCATCTGTCTCCATTGGGGATAATTATGTATATAAAATTCAATTTACTTCTATTTCTAATGAAAGCTATCATATAGCATAAGAATATACAGCAAACACGCATATATATGTATATATATATATATAGACACACACGCGCGCGCACATACTGAATTATCGAGAGAAGTTACTGGATGCATGAATAAAGAACTTATTCCTCCGATCCTAAATATAAGCCCTTATGTATAAGGATATTATATTTAGGACCGGAGGAATATCATTTAATAAAAATTTATATATCTATCTGTGAATGAGAAACTGATAGATACATTTATTCCTTTTTTGTTTTGGTAAAACATATTTTTGTTTAAACTGTTTTTCATCTAAAACATATAATTTGATATTTGCTCTAAAGTGTCTGACCCCAAGAGCTTTGTCCAGCCTTTTGATATTAGGAAACATGACATACAAGTACTAATAAAATATGCAAATGACACAATGGTATCACAAAATGACCTAATTAATAGAGGTTTTAAAGTTTTTTTTTTTAAAATCAAGTTCTTGTAAAATGATTTTATTGCCCTTATCTAAAAAAGATCCCTTCATAGTTGGCAACCAGCGCTCTAACACCAATGTTGGAGAATTATTTAAAAAGGAAGTGTCTTAGAGATGAATGACTGCCTCACTTAAAAAAAAAAAAAAAAACAACTTTAGTCATATAAAATGACAAGTAATGACAACTATTATTTTGAAGCCACTGGCAGCCTGGAGGTAAATGACTACTTCAGTTGTTGTTATTTCTTAGAGTGAAGTGGTCATTCATTTTTTAGGCACTCATTTCTCAAATAATTCTCTAATTGCTAGTATTTGCTAACGGCTTATAAAATCATTTTACAAAGAAACTTAATCGGTCAACCTCAAAAACAAAAAAAAATCTTTAGGGGGATATCATTGTTATTGGCCCATTCCATGAGATACCTTGTCATTTTCATATTTGGATAATACTGACATGTCATTCTCCCCTGGTACTAATTAAAGCTGAGACATTACCAACAGGTTTGGTCTAGCAAAAGGAATTAGTCTCTCACAACGTGATGAACCAAGATTCAAATCCCCGCTGGGAGAGGTACCCACATTTAGTATCCGACAGCGCCTCGAATAGAATTGTCTTCAATAAGAAGAAACCTATGCTTTAAAAAAAGCTGAGACAAATTCATTTATTTAAAATGACATATTACTATTTTACTTTTTAATGTCGAAACTGAGAACTTCAAAGCATTTTAGCCGCTTCAATATTGAAGCCCTCTCTGGTCCTTGTCACAATGTAAGCATTTCGAAGCAGAAAAGACTAATATGACTTCCTGTCCCCCAACAAAATACCGAAAAAGAAGACTGAAAAGGATATAGTAGTTTATAAACACAACATTCCAAATGGAACTAAATAAAAATATCCGAAAAAGATAAAGTTTCGCTTTTCAGATAATATACAATATGACTCGTTTTTAAGTTGTCATTTGGAAAATGTATAGTTATCGAGAAATGAACTAACGACACTGGAAAAATATATGTATTAACCTGTCATTTTCTATTCCCTCAATGTTTATCCATATATTTCACTATGATTTACATGTTAAAAGCATTAATACAGTTTTTTTTTATAACAATTTTCTATTTGTTGCTGTTCCTGTGCATCACATAGAAATATATCTCGTTATAATTTTGATTATGTCATTATTTTCGGCAATATATTTTCTTTAAACTAAAAGAACTACGGTAGATAAGATAACAATTACACTTAATTTAAAATATATTTGTATATTTATAATTTATATTATAAAATAAGAATTAAGCATATGTTAAAAAAGCAATTAATTTTAAGTAGGGTATAAATAAGTTACACGCATGATTTAATTCATCTTACCGGACAATGGGGGCAAATACGTCCCGCGAACAATAGGATAGGACCATTCAAGAAGAGAACATAAATTGCAAAATTAATGACATGAAAAGTCCAAAATCATCATATACAATACCATTAATAAGAAACTAAAACCCAAGATGAAAATCAGGTGCAGCATCATCTAGCAAACCCATGTTAAGCTCCTTTTTAGGGTCAACAAACGAACGATTAAAAAAATATTACATATACAACACCATAAAAATAAATTTATGTGACGACTCAATGAAAAGGCCCATTTTTTAGATCAAAAAGGAAGGTGGAAGCTTGAGACACGGGACGGATCAATGCCCCCAGAAGTCAGCAATTAAGGGGGGAAAAACGTTGTCAACGATAGAACAGGAGGTGCTGCCTTGACGCATTACCAGAATATGCATCATACATGGCTTGGGATCCCCCAGAGCTTAAGCCAATGGAGGCAGCAGCAAGGCCGTGTTGACCAGTCATATGCACAAGAGCTTGACCTGAAAGGCCTGATACAGCAGCCTGACTCAAGGCCAGTTGGCGCTGATAAGCCAATAACTCAGTTGGAGAATAGCCCTGGTTCATCCCTGTTGTGGGCAGGATTTGGTAAGGTTGTGTAGGAGGAGGTAGTGGGTTTGAAGCTGTCCCAGGAGGTGTTGGCTTGTTCCCCCATGAACACTGCGAAAATGAAAGCATATATCAATATAGTTTGTGGAAACAAAACGATGATCTCATAATACAATCTGGCAAAACTGTCATTCTGTGCCTGAAGGCAGTAGCAATGCATCTTATACTTAATTTGCGATTAAGCACAAGAAATTCAGATTTAAACACTAAAAGTAGGGTGCATCAGTCTACAACTTCACACTGACCATCCCTTCTCCATGGGTTTGCACACGTATACCCCCTTTTTGGTGCCAACTGAGGGTAGGACTAGGTGTGGGCTCCAGCATGTTAGCTCCCACATATATCATTAAATAAACGTCAAAAAAAAATAATCAGCTAACTGCAAGACAAAGCCAAACTTGTACCCCGACCAACACCAAGAAGTGAAGGCCTCTTGTATTCCAGAATCATTGCCAGGTGCCACCCATGAGAGAGAGAAGTCCACTGACCATATAAAAGCCAAAAGCAGCTCACCTTCATTGCTTTTCCACGAAGTACTCTTCCATTAGCCATTTGAATGGCCAACTCTGCTTCTTCATGAGTGTTGTATCTCACAAATCCAAAACCTTTATCCCTTTGAACTCGGACCTCCTCAATCACTCCAGCCCCCAATGCATGAAATTGATAGTGGAGTTCATTTTGCGTTACCTATGAGCGCAAACAACATTTGTAGGAAAGCGACAAGTTACTAATCAAGTCTGAAAACCGAAGAACTCATAATTTGAAAGAAACAACAATGACATTCACCATCCAAGAAGAAAAGTTGAGACATTAAATCGAAGTAGAAGCAAGGGTATAAAATAGAACTAATGAAGCACAAAGCATCACATTAAACAGCAAGTAGTACTCCAAAAACAAAATGTTGGCTTCAGAGATGGCCAGGGCTGAGATGTTCGTTTAAACTTTATAGCACGTTTGGGGGGTCCAAATCTCCAAAACACACCTTTAATTAGATCAAGGTCAAAACACAAACGAACCAAGAAATTCAGAGTTCAGGCAATGGACAAAAATGAAATAAATTAAAAAACAGGACAAAAAAACCGTTCCTAAGTTAAAAAGGCTTTAAAACAGATAAGGGGTTATAACCTACATCCACAACATGGCCAAAGACTACTATAATGACCCAAACCAGTCCATAACTAAAATAATTTCTCTGTTAGGGAATGAGACACTCAGATCAGAGTTATATGATAATTCATTGTGTTAAAGATGACCATAACATTTCACTCCAGTTCTTCTGACTTACATCATGAGGAAGGTTGCCAACATAAACGGTGGTATAGGCAGGACTGTTTTCAGGAGCATCCTCATTATTATATTCCTGACCTCCATCTGTGGAAGTTAGAACCATAGAGCAAAACAAAAGAATAACTTATCTGTCAACAAAATCCTCAAAGTCCCTAATCTGTTTACACATATATCTTTTCATACGAGCATACAGAATAGAAAAATTTTAAAGAGATCAACCCAGGTCCAACCGCCCAATTGAAATCCAGTCACCAAAAATTTTAATTTTTTTCTAAAGATAGATACAGATATAGGATCATAAAGAAACAACAACGAATGCATATAATATGGATATCAAACAAAGTTGAATTTTCCAGTCAAATCAAGATTGCCATACTAGATGCACTAAGAGTTAACCAAGCACAGACACTATTTTAGGACCTCAACAATCGATTGTCTAACCAAAAACACCAAGTAATTGGATAAGTTACCAAAGCTAGAATGGCATATTCTAGAAGAAAGGTATTGAATGGCAGATAGCATGTGTCTAACAAACATTGAACTGCCAGAATTCATGTGCTAGCATATAAGCATACTCCATCATGCATTGTGAAATACATGGCATGTACAGCGAAATCAAGCTAATGAGATGACCAAAATCCAGAAATTCAAAGAGTCCTACAGGGCAATTAACACGTATATAGCAATGGTGTTGCATACATGGCTTAACGTTTTTTTTTTAAATAAAAAATAAAAACCATGATACCTGAAGACCCATTTGTAAGCACAACAGCATTTTGGGTGTCATTGTTCTTCTCCTCATTGGTGCTTATACCAGCGCCCTTGGTTCCCCAGTTGCATCGTATCTGCCTATTTCCCAGCCACTTACCTACAGGAGGCATTAAACGTCACAATTTGGAAGGAACAAGATTTAAAATATAATAATTAATTAATTGGGAAAAAAAAAAAGAACGAGTCAATGAATAGTTAAATGCCTAACCAGTCATATCATTGATTGCATTTTGAGCATCCTGCATATCAATTGCATAAAGCACTCATCAATACATTGAACAAGCACCTTATTAACAACTCAAGGGCTCATATTTCACTTAATAAAACTTGGAAGAGGTTTCAAAGATACAGCAGTTATAACGAGATCTTGTGTTCTTAACAAGAGTAGAACCCTCTGACTGAATTCAATTAGAAAATCTGAAAGATTCTTTTAACAAGACAAAGTCTAGTCATGCGTAGCTACATAAACAAGCAAAGAAATTGATAGAGCACTTGCAACGGTCGTTAAAGAAAATAGGTTCCTTCTTTTCAAGCAGGAAAGAGCATTAGTTCATTTTTCATGCACATTTCAAATTGCGTTACAACAGAATAAGCAATACCTGCTGATCACGGAAAGAAACAAAACCATATCCTTTTGACCGACCAGTTTTGAGATCCCACATAACCTTTGCATCACTGCATATAATAAGAGGGCAAATAAAAAATGAGCACCAAAAACTTAAATATTGCGCAAGAACAAGTAGAGCCATGATGGTCTGTACTTATTAAACTGGCTACCTAGAAATGACTTTAGTGACAATGAAAGAACATATGGGCCTTGATGTAGTGACTACAAAATTTGATAAAGAATAACAAAAAAGCAATGAGGAACTCACGAACAACTAGGATAGACTGAGAAGCATGCAAATAAAGTTGCATCAGTAACCTCTGGACTCAAATCACCAACAAATATATTGAAGTGCCCTGATATTTTGAACAAATTAAAGGAATATGCGATTCAAAATAAGAAGTCCCCCAAGAAACAATTAAAAAAAGAGAGAGAAAAGAAAACTATAAAAATAATAATAACAACAAATAGGGCATGCCTAAAGGTAACCTGAAGTATCCTCCCTATGAGTATTGGCGTATGCCCAATTAACCTTAAGTGCCTGCCCATATCTGCAAGCGGTATCGAATGAAAATAATATTAATGCCATGTCACTATGACTTCATAATACAAGAAAAAGTGAAAAAGGGGGGAAATCAATAGAAGTTTCTCAAGATTGAATGGATGGAACAGTATCCTGTCAAACCATCACAGTAACATTTATATTGCCAAATAAGTGAAAATTCCTGTAGACTGCCTCCTCATTCAAAATGCCTAAAAAGACAAATATGCAAATATAGTTCTTACAGTTGGCGTCCATGCAATGTCATTATTGCAAGGGCTGCAGATGCTCTATCATGATAATCCACAAAACCATACGAGGACTGCAATGATGATGTCATAATAGAAGAAGCAAACAAATCAGCGGAAATCAGAAAATAGAGGGCATAGATAACAAATAAAAACAAGGAACACAAATAGATCAAGCAAAATATAAAATTATAAGCAAAGGCTACACAATGAGCCAGTCAAGGGCATTTTTGTACTGCTCCCCATTTGAGGAATCATGACTGTGAATAGGCATGTAATAAATGTAAATTCTAAAGAAATCTATGACCTTCTCAAATGCTGCATTTTCTCTCTCTCAAGCTCTAAGCTTTCAGCTCACATAATCCAGGTTAGAGAGGCGCATCTTACACTGCCAAGGTTGGTAAACATCATGATAGACAAGTGGTCACAACTTAGGACGAGTAAAAGGTATTATAGCCCCATTCATCACAGCATGAAAAGATTCCAACAAAGAGAGACAGTGAAAACAATAATTCTCTTACAATGAAGGACATCTTCACCAAACTTTTTTTTTTTTTTACACTGATATGTATGTGCTGTTAGAACTCCTTGAAATCTACCTAAAAAATTCTAGGAAAGATTCGGTGAAAGAAGAAGAGTGAAAGACATTTTGGCATCCTACTCTTATCACTAGCTAGCTCCTATGATGAAGGATGCATGAAACAATTAACAAAAATATGTTATCTTTTAGCTATCAAGATACATACTAGTTAAAAGAGGATAGATGATTATGAACAGGAAGGAAACAGTGAATTGCACAACAAACAAACCTTTTCTTTCCTTATGAGCTTGCACCCAGCAAGAGGACCAGCACTTTGAAAGACTTCAGCAAGAAGCTTTTCAGTAACATTTACATGAATATTTCCTACATAACTGAAAGCACACGTTTCAGATTAATGAAGTAACAAGGTAAGAAGATTAGGGAAAAAAATTCTGGTGTGCTTATTATTTTAAATCATATTAAACTGTAGAATAAAATTTGCCTACAAGACACTTAGATCATATACAGTAAAACATTGTTACAAGATAAATTTAGGAAAAATTACACTCAGGTCCAATAGAAGACAATTAATTTAGAAAAAGTCTCTAGAAATCCCGAAATGATTCCTAAGTCCCCAGGGACCTGTGTGTAATAAATTATAATTGTGAAATTACTTATTTACCCCCATTAATTTTATTGCAGCAATTTATTTATAATTTCAGCGGTGGCTGTTGAAAACTCGAGAAGAAGTGGTTGACAACCTCGGCAGTGCCCTTGACAACTCACTCTATGGGATATCAGGGGCAATGCCGAGGTTGTCAACCACTTCTCCTCGAGTTGTCAACAGTCACCGCTGAGATTGTAAATGAATTGCATTAGGTTCAAATTAATGGGGGTAAATAGGTAATTTCATAATTACAATTTATTACACACAGGTCCCTAGGGACTCAGGAATCATTTCGGGATTTCCACGGACTTTTTCTGAATTAATTGTCTTCTGTGGAACCTGAGTGTAATTTTCCCATAAATTTATGCCTTCTATAACAAGAAATCAAAAGGGAAACTGTAGCAATTGAAAAATCAATGAGGTGAATGGAAGAAAATAGCACTCACACACTGCGGCATGTAGAAGTATCAAAGCCTGGAGGCAAATTTCCACTTGGAATAGGCTCAATCTGCAAGATAACAAAAGAATTAACCAGGGAAAAAGAGAAGATCCGAGCAACTCTAAGCGACATTAAATAGAAACAGAACAAGCAGAGAAATCTTTGTTGTTAGCTCATCCTCCATGTCATGCTGCTATATTTGTTCGCCTGATAAATCACAAGTGAAGCGCTTTAAACTCGCAAGATTACCTTCTTCTTCTTCTTTTTTTCCTTTTTTTTGCCTTAATGAAAATGTGCAAAGCTATTGGTTCCCAGTGAAAACTTCCTGACGTCAGGCGAACAGATTTAATATTCGATGCATCACTTTGAAAATTTATAACATCTCATAAAAACAACAGTCCATTTGGAAGGTCTTTCATATAAAATCTCATGTCTTGGTATAGATACGATAGGGACAAGTGACTGTAGGAAACCAATAAATCAAGGTTTGCTGCTACTAAAGGCATAAAGGAGTGAACCTGGGACATAGTGGCGGCTAGCATCCCTGGGTGATACATCTGCTGTTGCTGAAGCAAGGCTTGCTGTATCAGGGCTTGTTGTTGCTGAAGCTTGAACCTCTGTTGCATATTCCTCACCTTATCCCGTTAGAAATTATTAATCACAGCCTACGAGACGATTCTGACAGATTTCTGGGAGAAAAAGTGGGGGGAAAGTATAAATCATTAAGAATCAGGAATTCAATGAAGAAATTATATAATTCAAAGAGAACTATTCTACATGCATTTGATTTACTTTCTTTTTTCGCCGATCTAACTCTTGAAAATCGTTGAGGAAGCGCATAATAGATTACATGTGAAAGGGAATTAACTTACCGTAATTCTTAGACAATGCAAGAGCTTGCAGAGCGATTCGTGATTCTGCGAATTCCTTCCAAAACTGGCTCCTTCCTTTGTTCGTGTTTTGTGAATTTGCACTCTCCCACTCCGCTTCAGGGACAAATGAAATAAAGCCCCGTCCGGCAATTCTCAATTAGGGGCTCGGAGCTGATGTTCGGTTTGGATCAATCCGAAGACCATTCCTTGAGTTTGGCGTCCCTTTTGAAAATTTCTGATTCACTTCAATGCGAATGATACTGTGGATCGATCAATATTTTCCTATTACTGTCTTTTTTACCTAGCTAAACAAAATCAAAATTATTTCTTAACCAAAAAAAGAAAATCAGAACTCTCGTTTTATATATTTGACGTAGACAAATTTATTAATCTAACGTAAACAAAACTCCATATGAATATTACAAGTGGTTGGCCATCAAAGATGAATATTACAAGTGTTCTGTAGCCCAAAAATGACGTTTTAGCAAAAGCAGCCAAAATGTTGCCAACTCCTACTAAGAGGGTGTTTGGATAGAAACCAAATCATGTTTCAGAAGTGTTTTTACGAATTACGAAATAAATATGTGGAGGAGGTTATCTCGTTTTGCGAAAAAGTACTTCTGAAACCTAGGTTTTGGTTTTGCCAAACACCCCCTAAGCATTTTGATTGTATTAGTTAATGCCTTGTGAAGATTCACACCAAAATTGCCCTTGAATTAGAAACTATATCTTTCAATTTTTGAAAAAAAAAAAAAGAGAAAGCGGAAAATGCAAATCCTCCCTAGAAATGGATCATAATTTTTTAGAAAGATAAAAATTAACTTTAAAATGTTAATTAATTACAAATGACATTTTAAATTTTAAACCCAACAATTAATATATTGTAGTAAAATAGAATAAATTATTATCCATATTACTGAATTTTTTTTAACAGAACGGTGTACATAAATATCAATGCCTATAAGTAAAGAGCCTTTTTTTCAAGTCTCTTTTCTTGGATCGAGGAGGCTAATTTCTTTCGGAGCACAAATAACAAATAATTTACATTTTATTTTACTATAACAACATTAATATATTTGCCACCTCCATAGACATGAGATCACATTCATGACCACGGAAAAATCGATGGGGCTGTTTAGAAGAGGTCGGATGCAAGTCCACAAGACAGAAGGGGTATTCCCGCCCCTAGACTCTTTTTTCAAAGTGTAATAGCCTGGTTTGTACTCCTTTTATCACCAAAAAGAAAACAAATATATTTGACACGTCCATTACGATATATATTACATTTCTAGTTACAAATAATTAAGAATAAATGAATATATTTCAGATGGGGGCCCCATCGTAGCAGAGGATTCCCCCCACCAAATAAAAAATAACCCAACAAAAAAGGATTGCAAATCTCGCATGCTTAGAAAGCTTCGACAGCTTCCTCAACCTTCTTCGGCTTGCTTTTCGGTCGACCAGATAATCTCACATCTTTACTTGACAAATATTCAAGTGCTTTCTCCAGAGTGACATCGTTGGGCTTCACATTCTGCATGCCAATTTCCAAAGTGTTAAGGACCACATTCTGAGTATAAAGACTGTTCGCAGCGGAAACGCAAGCAGTGGTTCAAGGTAAGGACAACATTGTATTCCAAAATGATTAGGATGCCAATATATGTCATAAAAAACCCAGCAATTAAATCCGCTGAAATGCCAGTATGTCTAAAAGAAACAGCTCCACGATATAGGAAAACCGAAGGAAATATATGATACTGGTCCAAACTTTGAAAATATAGTTGTCGCTTCCATAGAATTAAATTTGCAAACAAGCCTTTTAGGAGGTGTGGCCAATGCAATTATCCGCCTATGTCCTTGGAAACATGACGGTCGATTGTGAACAAGAATTAATAAGTGACACTTCCAGATCAAGGTCAAAAAAATAAGCAAGACTTCAAGAGACTGCTACAAAACGAACATGCAGTAGGTGAACACAGCAGTCCTTGTTGTTTCAACCGTTCTTAAATGGTGCAAAGTCAGCCGGAAACTATAAGCATACCTTTGGGAGAGAAGCTGTCGTTCGTCGATGTCGGACAGCAAACCCAACTCTGGCATGCTTCAATATGACCGGCTGTCCATCCTTTGGATGGTTACCCTAAGAACAAGCCAACATTAATTTGTTGCAGGTAAATGCTAGCCTTGGTTAGCCTTTGCATTGAGCCAAACACTCTCAAGAGATACCATAAACGCGGGTGCAATCAGGTCATAACTCAAAAACACTACAAAATTTTGTGTGCATGTGTGTAAAAGAATTTGAATAGAGCAAGGAGATTTACCAAGGTCAATGGGTATCGCAGCAACTCTACCGCACCTTCTAGAGTGATAGAGCCTGTATCCTTTATCTGGAAAATATCAATCTGTAAATTCTATCCTTCTATTGGAAGGAGTTACGATAAATCATATTTGCACAAACAATTACCACACATCATCATCAGAATATATATCCAAAGGCATCACAATGGCAGAATTTACTAAAATTACAATTCCATGGACCACTAAAATTGAGCAGTCACGTTGTAGCACTATATTTTGACTTTTGACCTTCCCAACACAAAAAAAATTAAAAAAATTAAAAAAAAAATTGACTACCAATCTGGATAGTTTAGCAACTTAAAATACTACTCTCACTACGACAGCAAATTTGCCGTCAATAATTTTTGTTTAAGGCACTGAATATCATTTGCTTTTTCATGTATGAGTGTCAAATAATATTATTCTTATAGTGAATTGTAGGTTCGGCCTTATAACCCTTATTATCAGTTCAAGGAATCTTTCAACAGCCGTCATTGTGTAAATTCTACAGCCAATATCATTATGAGGATTTAGAATAACTACGAATTCAAGATGCGCTGTCAAACATACATTAAGCCGGATTGGAACCCTACAATCTCATAGATCATATATTACAACAGCTACTTCAGTATTGTACCATCCATTAGATATGGACAATAATGTCCAAATTTTTAGACTTGGATCCCCTGGCTTTCTTTTCTTTCTTTTTTTGTTTTTTGTTTTGGAATAAAAACTGAATACCACATTAAAACAAAATCAAAACTTACAAACAGTCATTACAAAAGGCTCTCCTCCTCTCGTCATCCACCACCTCCCAGCACGGAGGTGGGAGCTGATCAATATCTACCTATGAGTTCCATCTTATTTGATAATAACAATATATAATGTGCATGGAACAACCAGTATGTCTACCCACGAGTTTGCACAAAACAAGAAAACCACAGACAGATTAAAATGTCAAATATCAATGGCAATGAACCAGCAAAATAACCAAAAGAATTCGTCAGGTGGCAACATACATGAGAGACAGAGGCCCTTTTAGGTAAGTATCCCTTCCTATCTTCTCCAAGCTGCACATAATTTCCGTAAGGACCAGTTTTCAGAAGAACCTGAAGGAAAATCATATTAGTCATTCATAAAATTCAAGGAACCAAGCAAAACATAAAATCCTGTAGTCCAGTGAAGCATATAACCGAGGCCAGGATCTAAAGGGAACCTTTTCATTTGATCCAGGGTGAATACCAAGGACTTTTGGCTCTTCTATTTTAGTGTTATTTTGATCGATAACTTCTTCCTCATCCTCGCCATATAATGTTTTAGCAATATACCTGTTTTCAAAATAACAAGAGCCGCTAGTAACGCATTTATTTCCATATTCATAAAACAAAATATTACTGACGAGGCAAATTATTTATTAAAAGAATACAAGAAAAATAGTTACAAGACAAAGTCCAAAATTTCAACTGAGTAAAGACGAACGTTAAGATCCATGACGTAACAATGGTAGTTATGAAGGCATGGCTGAGCAAGCCTAAAATCTAACATTGATCGCTGAAAATGGAACCTGAATATCAAATGCGTTCTCGGGTATTACATCTCTAATGCAACTCATCCAATGGCGTGATAACGGACGAAATAGAGATTTGATAATGAAATGGACAATCAGGATAATTTGAATGCTTCAACAGTTCCAATCCGTACTTACTTTGCAAAATGCAACATTTAAACTTGTAAATATAACATTTAGACTTGAGGTAGAGGTGCGCATCGAAAAATGCATTAGACAATCTGAATCCCATTATCAACAAGCACATGATCTTTTCTGCTTCTTCTTATTCTTCTTCTTTTTTTTTTTTAAGCAATCAGCATTACTGTTTCTGCAGCAGTCCAGCTTTATTTGGCAGTTAGAAGGTTTCGTCCAAATCAGACCAGGGGTTAGTTGAATAATCTCCTGTGGTTTAACACAATGTAAAATACCTCATTGCAGTACCTAATCTTCTATCTCAATCACTATCATAAGGTGAAGCAGAGAGTAGGTCAGTACCAAGTAACCTGTTAGTGACATGCACAATCTACAGATCAATTGTGGATTCATATCCACAATTTTTCATCTGTCTTATTCCTTCTCTCTTTTTGGGGTCATTTATGATTGCTGCCTGTATCCTCAAATCCCTTTGAAGTACATGCATGGTATTTGAGCCAAGGTCATAGGTTTCACTTCAGAGTCTATTTCCATTATTAGAATAAATATGGGAAATCACACAATTTCGACATTCTGTTTAATACAGCAGACATAACAAAATCCTTTCCATACAATGTGCACCATATGCACCATATGATAGGTAGAGCATTTGATAAATTACACATCAGTCAGATCCAGATATATTCAACAAAATACTCACTTGCATTTTGGATGTTGGTCACAACCTATAAAGTAGCCAGCACCAAACCTACTCACTTTCAAAATCAAGGTGCCTTCCAAACAACTGAAACAAGTTCATATTGTAGTTAGCAGATTAAAAAAAAATTAATGATATCACGCATAAGATGAATGTAATCAAGCAGACAATTTGATGCTATATTACTTTGGGCATGCCCTGCTCTGATCTGGTAGGGAACCAAATAAAAAATCCCCAAATTTTTTTTCCAACATCTTCTCCACCTGTAAGTAGCACAATCTTTTATTAGTTAACAAACTATAAAAGGAGTACTGAGTAGCACTTTAATTTACATCAGTCAACAGCATTGTAAAATAAATCAAATTTAAAACACAACTTTTTGCAGGATATTTTTTTCTTTTTTTTAATATTTTGGGTAATACCCAAAATTCCACATTCATTCTGAAACTAGTATATATCATACATTAAAAAAATAATGGACAGTTTATCGAGTACTACAAATTATTTGGTCAAAAGTCTGATGGCCAGTTTTTCTCAAATTATCACATATGAAGCATCAGGATCGGTGGAAATGAAATAAGCATTGAAAGGTTATTGCTGGCACTAGAGCACATGCAGAAGCAGACATCAATAGTAACTGACCCGCCATATACACAAAATGGCAAGAGAATCGTAAATCTGATAATTCAAAAGAATTGAAATTGAAAATTGAGTAATGTAATTATGTTTCGAGCAAGTAGAATGGTTGTACCTGATGAATATGAACATTAGCAGCACGCTCACAATATGATTTAAAGCGAGTCCAATAATCTCTAAGGAGGCCTTTCCATTCAGTTATTCCAGCAGAGACATTATCAAGCTGAATCAAAGGCAAGATTTTAAAGAAATAGTACAATAATAGGATGGCAAATCCCTCTCCTACAGCTAGTATAGAAGCAAAAGATCAGCGTAAATAAATAAATACATACATGTGTGCGTGTGTGTGTTGAACATATGAGATTCAAAGACGATGTAGATAAAGGAGCTAGTTTTGCAAGTTTGACGAGGTGGGAAAGTAGAGAAATACAATCACATTAGGGGCTAAAATTATATGTGGTGAAACTATGATACCTCTGTCTCCATATCGGCAGTGAAACTATAGTCTGTGACCTCTGAAAAATGATGAGACAGAAAAGCCGAAACCTATGTATCATCAAGAGAACAAACATGAAAGTGCTTGCCACATCTAGGCATATCACAAACTTTCTACAGAACAATAAATTGATCGGCATCTGACAATCATTTGAGTCAACAGAGTAAAATAATATAATGCTCATTCATAAGAAATCATAACAACAGAAAAAGCATGAACGATTAAGCATTTCAAATGTGCATATAATGCACCAAATGGTCCCCTGTTTCCCATGCACTTTCAATTTTTGAAGAAAATAAGGGAGCATGACATGATAGGTCTAAATGAGCTGAAGATGTATGCCTTTTACAGGTCTAAAATAGGCCCTTGAATCAATTAAGCTGCAAATAAGATACAAGTGCGAGGAGGTGTGTACTCAAAAGAAAGATTGGTTGAACAAATTTATCCTTCAGTTAAAGCTTTAAGGCATAACATTACAAGAACATCAAGTTTTGGATTCTAGATTATTATCGAATTGAGAATGTAAAATGATATTAGAGAAAAATACAGAGATTGACTGTGGACTACCCTAACTTCAGACCACAGCATGTTACGTTATTAGTTAGTATAACATATCTGGGCCACAGCTACATCCGCAAACGGAGATAGATTTTATATCTGGAAAAGAAGACTAGTAATTCATAAAAATAAGCTACGCAGTGGAACCAAAAAAGGGAAAGCAGGAGGAAACCCTGAAATACATATTTTCGTAACATCAATCCACTGTAGACAAAGAAAACAGCATTCCGAGGACTCCAATTTTTGGGAATATTTAAATATATCAATCATTTTCATCCCCACAAAGCAGTTTATACAAAATTAAAAGAATCTTAAACTTACCATGCGACCACGGAATTCTGGATGAAGAACACGGTTTTTTACTGTCACATAGTTTCTGTCCTGATGCAAGAAGCAACTGAAGGCTCAGAGTAATTTGAAACAGACACAAAAAACAAATATATCCAAGGACAAACATTTTCCTGTAGGCTATAGTAAAATATATAAATGGCACGACATCAATGTCAACAAGAGAATTCCAAAATCTAAAAGCCATTACACTAGGCATTGCTTGATCTTTTAAGTTCAAAAACTAGCCGTTGCTAGACCTTCAAACAACTATACATCAAAACATGTGCTTAGAGCAATGAGAAAGACCAATAAAGGAAATGATCTCCAATCAGTTTTTGGCCTGGTAAAATTCAAAGTAAGGGAAGCTGGGGTCTGAGTAAAGCCTAACTGACTAAATTGCTAACATTCCAGCTCAATCAATGACCTGAACTCAACTACATATCTTAGCAAATCAGTAATACTAAATAATCTTTATATAATAGAAGATAAATAAGGTAAAAAGTATTATAATCAGAGTGTTGCATAAGTTAGTTACCTGTAAAACCTTCAATGTGGTTGCATATGTTGAAGGTCTCCCAATCCCAAGCTCCTCAAGCTTCTTAACCTATTAAATACAAGAACGCAAAAGATAGCCGCCACCCAAAAGAAAATGATAAAAGAAAAAGGGCAGCGTGAAGAAAGAACTCAGAAAGAGAAAAAGTGCAGACGAAATGAAAGCTATCCTCCCACATGAAAGCAACCTGAATTATGGTCTATAGCAGCCCTCTAATTCCAATGAAAGAAAGGTGATGACATACCAATGATGCTTCAGAATAACGTGGTGGAGGTTGTGTAAAGTGCTGCATAATTTCTGTTTGAACAAGATGTATTGGATCCCCTGGCTTTAAAATAGAAGTCAGTGAAGGGAAAAGAGGGAAGGCATCAAATGGGTTACATTGGCGTTAAAAAGCAAATTAATTAATAAACAACATCTAATACTACCTTCAATGCATTTAGAACCCCAAAAGCTTCATCACGGTCTGATTCATCACTTATTTTATTTTGAATCCCTCGGCCTCAGTGTCCTACAACAAAATCCTACATGTAAGTGAGGAGACAAACTACTAAAGCGACATGTGAACAATTTCAACCTCCATTAAAATAAGAAAAGATATTCAAAACAATAAATAATAATAAACATCTCCCAATTTAACATTACTAGTAAAGAAATAATTGTAAGTATTACAGAATTAAACAAAGAAATCTGCATGCACAGAAAAAAATAAAGAAATCTTTGCACGTATTGCATTAGTAAAGATCCTGTTTGTGGCATCTTATTTACTGTCAGAAGGATGATCCTGGAAAAGTTAGTTACACAAGGCTTGAATTAGGTTCCTAAAAATCATAGGCATTGTACCAGTTGCAACAAACCAGAGCTTAAAACTCAAAACATAATGAAAATCGTAATAGAATGAATGGATTTCCTTGTAAGGGACTATAATCAGCTGTGCAAATGACTACGATCTTTCAATAGGCTTGATCAAATAGCTTCCTTACATCATCAAGAAGCTGGCATCAACATCATACCTTAAACACTGCCTGATATCCAGGGAAATCAACCCTTGAGCTTGCAGATCGAAACACAATGGACTCACTGGCATTTCCAATATCAAGTTGTATCTGGAAACAAAAGGATGTTAAACAACAAGCTGATTCAAAATAGCTGACCAAACTCTAGCAGATAAATTTCACATGCATGAGTCAAGAACCATTTCTCCCAAAACCTGTTGGTTTTACGCAAATGAGCAGGAATAAATTTATTATTGGTGGAAAAAGCAGCAAGTATGACATTCCTGCATGTTCCATCTCAATAGATTTAGAAGTCTAACCTGATCAAAAACAGCATTTTCCATCTGACACGCAACTGTTCTTGACCAAATAAGAGAGTATAGCCTCAAGGAATCTTCGTCCAGCATCCCAACAAACATTGCTGGTAATGACAAGCCAGCAAGCAGTTACATCACAATGCGTTTGCCATTAAATATTTACAAGTGCTTCAATCAAAAACTAAAGAAAATAGCATCCATCATAAAATAATTGGCTTACATGGTAATCTGCGTATATCAGTAGGCCTAATGGCTTCATGGGCCTCTTGAGCATTTTTCACCTTTTTAAAATATTTCCGTGCATGTTGTGAGGCAAAATCTCGACCATACCTGCATGCAGTATGTTTATAAATATAACCAAAACATGATTTAGGCACAATCATTGAAATTTAAAGAGGCAACTACAGCTGAAAGTTGCTTAGTTGCAGTGAGAAATTGCCGGATAGTGCCTTGCATGCGAATAGAACTGAACTATCATGCTATTTTAAACAAAATCTTCTCTCACCGTCAATAGCAAGTTTTAATTCACCTTTTTTTCATTTGTTTATAGACACAAATAGATGAGTTTTTTTTTTCTATATGGAAGAAGAATTTATTGATGATAAGAGAAAAGCTATGCAGAAACTGAGAGCAATTACAAACTCAGTAGCTCAGAAAAACTTTGCAACCCTACTGTAAATCCCCAGGGGATCTTATACCCACAAAGAGGGAGGATTTTAGATTAACTGTGGAGATCTTATGAAGGATCTGAAGAGTTTTCTAAGCTAACATAGTTCAAGTGTCATTCTTTTGTCACTTTATTTAAAAGTCTAAAATGCAGGTTACAATTAAGACACGTGGTAAAGTTCTGACTTGTCACTTGCAAAAGAATTCTGCTTCCAAGAACACCTGGAAATGCATAAAGTGTAGATTAGGAAGACTATGCCATTCTAAATTGCAGCAGAAGATTTGGCATCCTATTTGCACCTCGATTTGGCCCCAAAAAGAACAATTTTTTATTCCCAGATATGCAATCAGTCAACAAGACCAAAATTACCATCAGTAAGGCTGTACAGTATAACTCAAACCCAGAAGGAGCATAGAGATGTAAGGAAGAGGACATCTCACCTTTCAATGATTAGTGAACGTATACTAGAGACAGCTTCATCAGAAATCTAAAATATAAAAATTAAAAAAAAAATGAGGTGTTTAAGATTGAAAGGATTAACAGCAGATAAGACTATGGTACTATTAAAAGAAATAACTTTGTATGTGTCTTTCATGTGTCCATCAGCATGGGTAAAAGTCAAAATTTTTATATATAATCCACATACAGATCTTCTTAGGCACAAATAGCGAATCTCATTAAAAATATAGCTTGGCAGAGTTGAGTTTATTGAATTATCTAAACCATTTTTACACACATTCCAGCCCTTCTGCCCAGCATGTAAACAACTGACACTCTTGCACCCCAATAAGTTTCATCATCACATAATAAAATAATGATATAGTAACCAACAACAATGACACAACAACAGCAATAATAATAAGAAAATGCTACAGAAAAAGACATTCACGAAAAAGTATACCACAATGTTCTGCTACAAAAGTGATACCTACATGCAATCCATCAGTCCTCATATATGTTATCAAACCCACTGCTTTGCCATCAGATAGTTCAACTCCCTCATAGAGTTTCTGAGCAAGCTGCATTCATTAGGCAACAGAAGTCAGTCAAAAATAATCCAAGAAAAATCACCAAATTTAAAATAATTATACAATGATGGTTCTGCAGGAAAATAAACTTGGCATCAATATATTTCAGTAAACAAATACGAAAATGGAAACGGAATTCACAAATTTGTATACCTTCATTGTGTAACTTGCTGAGAAATGCAACTTGTTTGCAGCATCTTGCTGAAGAGTAGATGTTATATAAGGTGTTGGAGGGTTTCTTCGAATTTTATTTCTTTTCACGTTAATAACCTGAAAATCCACTGATTTTATTTTGTTTTCAATGTCTGTTGCCTGAGTATTAGAGGTAATTGAAAATTGATTCAACTTTAGTGAATCAAAATGAGTTAAGTGCGCATGAAAAGTATAATCCTTGTTCAATTGGGCCACTACAGTCCAATACTCTTGTGGTTTAAATTCATCAATTTCCAATTCTCTATCGCATATGAGAGAAAGTGCAGCAGATTGGACTCTCCCTGCTGATTGGCAGCCAGGTAGCTTCCTCCATAGTAACGGTGAAATGTTAAAGCCAATCAAATAATCAAGAGCCCGCCGTGCCAGGTATGAATGAACCAAATTCACGTCAACATTACGAGGAGACTGCAAAGCACCTTTTATTGATTGTTCAGTAATTTCATGAAAGACAACCCTTGCTATAGATAAATTCTCATGCAAAGCATCCTGTTGTTTTAACATCTCAATAATGTGCCAAGCAATAGCCTCTCCTTCACGGTCAGGATCTGATGCAAGAATAAGATTTTCTGCTCTGAGGCACAAGCCAAAATGAAATGAGCAGGAGATCAGCTATCAGCCACATACATATAGAAAACAACACAGAATAAAAACAATCCAATCAATTCTTAAAAAAGTGACTAGTCAATAAACCAAGACAACGAGCAGTGCACAATTTTGCAGTTGAATTTGAATTCTTTTTCCTTTTCTCAACATATGTTTGTGATATATGTATGAGAACGTAACATAATATGTAAAATTTTATAATGAACTAAAGAAATAACAAGAACACAATTAAATAATAACAATAATAAAATAAAATTATTCAAAAAAATTTTAAATAATAACTTGTACTGATATAAAAGTAAAGAGAGTGAATAATAGTTAAACCAACCACTAAAATGAGAAAAACTAGAGAAGGTGGATAAGGAAAAAGAATGTACCCGCTTAGTGTGACTTTGATGCTCTTAAGATGGGTCCAGGCAGGAGCTGGGACCTCCCACACCATGCTAAAATCATCATCAGGGCGTACAGATCCAGACCTTCCAGCCAAATCCCTTACATGACCATAGCTTGGCAGGACTTCATACATATTACCAAGGTAACGTTGAATAACCTTTGCCTTCGTAACAGACTCCACAACAACCACAGTCTTTCCAGTGGGAGGATATAGCGGCTTGACAGTAATTTTCTCTGGAAGTTTCACTTCATTGATCACTTCCTGCTTTGACTCACTAGTAGCCTTCATCGATTTCCCTTTCTCACTGGAACTCCCACCTTTTTTCTTTGACAATTTCTTCTTAGAAGCAGGTTTATCAAGTTCTTCTTCTGATGCAGTCTTTGTTGAATTCTTCTGTGAAAAAGCTGTCTCAGTAAGAATGTTTCAATGTAAAAGGCTAAAAAGCATAATTTCCTCATTACAAATACTAATTTACTAACCTTTGAAATACGTGAGGAGCTCTGGCCCGTAGCAAAAAGATGCGATGCATTTGCTTCAGAAGAATTTATAGAATCCTGTGCACCAGCAACCTCTTCCGATGAATTGTTAACAGAATTCTTGTTCTTTTTACTTCCTGACTTCTTTCTTCCATTGAGTTTAGAGTCCTGTTTACTATTAGCAGGTGTTGCTGATGTCGACAATCCCTTGTCTTCAACTAGACACTTTCTTGAAGTTAACAGATCTACATCTTTCGAAACAGAGGTACCAGAAGTTACATCTCTATCTTTGCCATGAACAATAAAAGCTTTTGCCCGTTTCTTGTGTTTATTAGAACTCTTGAAGCCCAGAGTAGACTTATCATGCTTTCCATCTACGGCATTCACAGTATCATTTCTAGTTTCCACTTTCCGGACATAAGAAACATACCTCTTATGGAAAATCGCATCATTCGTTAAACTCCTTCCAAAACCTTTCTCCAGATATGGGAAACTGAAATTATTCAGAGATTCCACAGATTTACAGAACCCCGGTCTTGCAAGTACAGGGATAACAGCAGTGCGCCTTAAAACATCACTCGTACCATTGAAAGGACAAAAGCTTTGGCCAATGCTTGTATGCTTGATTGACATTGTCCCAGGCTTTCTAAATTTAACTTGGGAACTCTTTTGGCATTTGATACTGCTGGTGACGCTCCATGTTGAATGTGATATGGGTGGGTTCTGAAGTGCCCGTAATTGTAACTATAAAACCATTTCACATCCAAAAGTATATTATTTCCAAAATCCAATGTGCATTGTCAAAATGAAAAATGCATCAGTAGCACATTATGCCGCAACACAGAGCTTACTCGAGAAATTCAGGACTCAATAACAGTAATCGTTTTCTCTGAATGCATTGTTTCAAGAAAAGAAAAAGAAATAAATCCCTCCCTTGTTCCAGTTCCCGTAAGAGGAAACAGTCAAGTCCCCTGATCTACAGTCCATGCAACACGTAACAAAATGCAGCTAAACTGAAGACAACTGCCTGATTCCTTATATAGTTTATCACGTCTTATCAGGATCGCTTAAGCTTATGTAATGGGATAGGAGTGCGTATAAACCAATGGCCAGCATCCAATTAGAAACAGGAAATGTCATTTCTCTCGAGGTATTGACAATCGAATAAGTAACTTCCATGTCTAAATCTTGTTAGCATACACATACATACATATATAGGGATAGAGTGATGTCAATATATACATACATAATTACATACATAGATATACACACGTGTGTCTCAGCTTTTTTCCCATTATTTTCAGGATTGCCAATGCCACTGAGAGGCCGGTGAGAATTATGTTTTGTTTCATCTTCATCTAAGCGTATCCAAAGTACAGAAACGGTCCAAATGTGCAGAAGAATAACTAATGAGAACAACGGTGAGACAGAGAAAGAGGGAAGAAGAAAAGGTCACCATGAAGCAGAAGCGTCGGAGAGGCAAAGCCGTCGATGAAGGATGAGGAGAAAAAGTGAAAGAAGGGGCAGAAGTGGTCGTCGTGAATAAGTTCCTCTGCAGTTGAATCATGCTCATGGTGCCTTCATTTGGCTCTGAAACTAATGAAGACGGTGGTGCCCCGCGCTGGCAGCGTCAAGAGGGTGGGTTCAGGCCAGTGATGAGGGTTTAAGGCCAACGGTATGGTCTCCATCCACCTTGCTTTTCTCTTTCTGATAGGCCGGGCTATTGAGTCCACTGAGCCCAATGGCCCAATTAACACTGATAGCGACTTAGAATGTGAGGGATTACAAAAAAAAAAAAACTCAGCCAGGGCCTAACATGCAGAGAAAATTCAATTCAATTACAATACCTAAATTCAAATTTATAACTTGCCATTTTTTCCCTTAAAAGGCATATTTGGAAATTCAGCATAAGTATAAAAGTTTGTCAGCATGCATTCTCCATACCAGCAAGATCATATTTTATCAAAAAATTTATTTTCGAAAACTTCAATTTACGCTGAAGGCAAGGATCGCAATCCCAACACTAATCCAAACACCAACTTTCTAGGTGCATCCTACATTATGCATTGATTAGAGATTTAAGTGTAAAATTCAAAAAATAAAAGAATAAGATGATGGGAAGTTACTATATGCGTACAAGAGTGGGAGCGTGAGAGAAAATAATAGACGGGGGGATTTCACGGTTTGTAGAGTTTTGTGAAAAATGATTGTCATGTCATTTGCCTACACGATGCTTCGGTCTTTAATATAAAAGTTAGATAATTATTTTCTAAGTATTAAAAAGATTAATTAAATTAGTAATTTATAATAAATTGATGCTATCTTTCTCAAAATGTCACTATTAATTATATGGATTAGAATAAAAACCTTTTAACATCTGTAATCACTAATCACTATGGGGATTAATTTAGGAAAAATGAATAAATATGTAAGATAACATGCATAAAGACTTATATTTGGGACTAAACTGAATTTCTAATTAACATTTTTATATTTTGGTGGATTGATTGAAAGCTATTTATCGAGGGAACATGGGATAACTAAGGTACATGTTTTTTATATTTAGGGTTTCTATGTATATAATTAGATACTCCACTGATCCATAATATAAGACTTAATCAACTAATTCGAGCAGAGCAAGATGCGAGTTAAATTATTTGATATGACATGTATAAGAATGCTAGTTAAATTATTTAATGTGATATGTTTAAGGATGCTGGTTAGATTATTTAATATGATTTTTTTTCTAAAATACTTTAAATATCTTTCTTAACTTTCTCTCTCCCTGTCTTACTTGATTATTGTTAGAATAATATCAATAAGGTTAATTTTGAAAAAAAAATTAATTAACATGCAAAACATGTCTTATATATAAGACCAATATTAACTCTCTAATTAATTCATGTATTAATGACCGGAGGAGTATTATATGATAATTCAATAGATATTAGAGTTAATACAATTTTTGGCCCTTCAAGCCTGCCTTTATTCTGGTTCTGGTCCCTCAAGTTTTAAATCATAGGTATTCGTCTCTCAGGTTTCTTTTTATTTCAAACATTGATTTATGTAACTTAATAAAAATCTGAATCAATTTGCCCTTGAGGGACAAAAATTTGTGATTTGAAATTTGAGAAATGAAAATCAAAATAAAGACAAATTTAAAAAATAAAAAATTATATTAACATTAGATATTATGAAACACGCGCACAAGTCGTGAATGAAATTAGGAAAACTTGTGAACAGTTTTGATTCCAAATGTTCTGTCAGTTACAGAGTTGGTATTTTAGGGGGTGTTTGTCTAACTCCAAAAGTGCTTTTGAAAAGCATTTTTTCACAAATAAAAACAAATTCCTCTATATATTTACTTCATATGTCATAAAAATACTTTTAAAATCATGATTTTGTATCTATTAAACATTTTTTCTAGTTGTTGTGGCTAAGGACCAGCCTGTGTCATAACCTCCGCTAATCACCTAGCTGACATAAGAACATGTGTCTAGCGTCTATGGCCATACTATGGCACGTTGGACTTCAAGGAAGGAAATGGCATGAGAATTGCTCCATCCTGGACATCAAGCAATTTTTAACCATAATTTATAAAATATCATGTTATAAATATATGAGGAAAATTTTGTCATGAGTTACGCAAACGTAAACACTTAATATAAATAGTTTCAAACAAGCTTACCACATAAGTTTTTCTTGAGCCACATAAGCTAAAATTAACAACATTTAGGCTTATTTTGTTTTTGAAAATATAGATACTTTTCCTATTCTTTTTTCTAAAATTAATCTTATTGATATTTTCCAAACGACAATCAAATATAAGAAAAAAAAGAGAAAATTAAGAAAGATGCTTATAGTATCTTAGAAAAATCATATCATATTAACTAATTTAACTAATATTTTTATTTTACTTAAATTAATTAATTATGCCTTATCTTAAAGATAGAAAAAGTATTTGTTTCGAAAAATCGTAAAAAAAGACTGTCAACATAGAAAAATCACAAATAAGGACCTATTACAATATTAGAATGTGTTTTAATAATAATAGTATGGGTTTTTATAACAATTTTTGTGAATTAGTCTTTGTGTGTAATTTTTTAATTTTAACAGTCCCTTTTTGTGATTTTTCCCTATTTGTTTTTGAAATATACTACCTCTGATCCTAATTATAAGAGCCAATTGACTAATTTCGGGAAATTAAGAAAAGAAGTTAAGTTAGTTATTTGTAATAAATAGGTGTTGTCTTTCTTAAAATATCCTTACTAATCAAGTATGTTAGTTTAAATTATAATTATTAGAAGTACTATCTTGAAAAAAATTGAGTAAATATGGGAGACAAAATAAATTAGAATTTTATATTTAAGACCAATATAAAAATTAAATAGAGTTTTATATTAAATATCAGAGGTAGTATCATAAAATGTAAAAGAAATATTCTTAATCGGTTAAGGGGAAAAACAACTAAACAAGCACCCGAAAACAAAACAGGTCTCACTTTTCACAGCTCACCACTCACGAGAGTATTCGCCCGTCTTGCACGGAAATAGGGGAGCGAGCGTGAGCGCGCGAGCGGCAAATGCCACTGTTACGATGGCGATAGCTACAGGCCACAGCGATTCTAACGGCACCTGTTTTGGTTTTTTTTTTTTTGGAGCACCTTTTTATTTCTTGTCATTTTTCTATTATGCAACCTCCTTTGTCAAAGTCTGCTTTCTCCTAACTTCACTTCACACTCTTCTTACTATATCCTCCCTCCTTCCACGCCCGTAATTCAGTTACATGCACAACCTGCCCTGATCTGCTCAGATATTCGATTTTTGCTCTCGCTTCTTCCTTTTTTCAATCTTCACGACAATCATGTAAACTTGAGGTTTTAGCGACCGGGTACTGCCTTCAAATCATATTTCTATTTTTTTTTTGGGGTGCGTTCTTTGTTCTCGATAAGGGTTTTAGATTTGATGCCCGAACCTGATTTCGATTGACTTGTGGAGATTTGGGCTTTATGTAATTTAATCTTCGCCTGTCGAGTTTTCGTCTTTCTTTCCGTGAGGTCGAATTGGAGTTTTGTTGTATATTACATCCCATTGATTTTTTGTTCTTGTTCCCGTAATGGATTAAATGAGTTGGATTTGTTTTAATTTCCAGGGCTTTACTTGCTATTGACCTGGCCTTCTAGTGGTCATTGTTCATCAGATCTCGGTGCCATCATTGGATATGGACAGCCGTAGCGACGCAGAAACGAGTTCATTTTTGAGGTTTTCAACATGCGCCTCATTGATTGTTTGACTTGATATCAAGTGCGCTTATATTCTTATCGGCCTCTCTCAAAAGAACAACCTAATTAATGTATTCGTGGAAAAAATTTATGGCATTGTAACGCACAAGCTGCTCTATTGTCTGCTTTGGTAAATTCCAATGAGAGTGTGTGTACCGCCTCTTCTAAATGTTCGAGTTGGTAAACAATAATCTTCCCTCTAACGAAATTGATGAAGGTTAAAAGAAGATAAAAAATTTTCTATGTTGACGTTGAGACTTAAGTCCTTTGATTCACCAAGAAGGCCATTTAGAATATCAACTTGTACTGCAGTATAAAAACGATAGATGCAGCTTCATATAACCATCCTTTTGTTTCCTCACAGTTTGTTTGCAGCTGTATCATATGGATTTGCCTCAATGGCCATGGTTTTTATCAACAAGGCTATCGTCATGCAGTATGCGCACTCAATGACTCTACTCACTATGC